GAAGAAGTCGCAAGGTGTTAAATCACAAGATCTCGGTGGCCAATTGTGATCACCTCTTCGAGAGATAACACGGTCAGGAAACTTTTCCCGTAAAAGAGCAATGGTTTCGTTGCTTGTGTGGCACGGAGCGCCGTCTTGTTGAAAGTAAACGTTGTCCAGATCAATACCATCCAACTCCGGCCATAAAAAATCATTAATCATATCTCGATAGCGCAATCCATTCACCGTAAGTGTTGATCCAACCTCATTTTCGAAAAAGTAAGGTCCAATGACCCCGCCGGACCATAAACCGCACCAAACAGTCACACGTTGAGGATGGAGAGGCTTCTCAACAATAACTCTTGGGTTTTCCGAGCCCCAGATGCGACAATTTTGCTTGTTGACGTAGCCTCCTAGGTGGAAATGGGCCTCATCAGTCAAGATGATTTTTCGATGGAATTCCGGATCATTTTCATGCATTTCAAGTACCCAATCAGCAAAGACAAGACGTTGTTGATGATCGGCCGGCTTGAGTTCTTGTGTTAACTGAACTTTATAAGCCTTAAGACCCAAGTCTTTATGCAAAATATGGTGTAATGACGTTTGTGGAATGCCCAACTCCAAAGAACGACGAAGAATGGACAAACCTGCGTTTTCTTCAACACTTTGGGCTACAGCAGCAATTTTCTCAGTTGTTCTTGAGCGACGTGCACGGGTTTTATTCTTCACATCACTAACTTGTCCCAACAGCTCGAATTTTTCCACCAATTTCTGTATTGCGGTCCGACAAGGTGCTTCACGACGACCAAAAAATGCTTTAGTTTTGCGAACTGTGACTGCAAGATTTTCACCATTTTTGTAGTGAATTTTAATAATTTCAATGCGTTGTTGAAGTGTGTATCGTTCCATTTTTAGTAATGGCGTAGTTTCTACTTGTCAAATGTCAAAAAATAAAAGCTTCAAAAGTGACAGCTACCGAAATACCGGTGATTCAAAATTACACCTCTTGTTGGAAAACCCTTTATATATATATGCTGTATATGCCGCGAAGCCAAGAGGAATTCTTCTATCGGCCTCCCAATCGAAGTTATACCGGCCGAATCGGATAGTTTAGATATATTCTTACACAACCTCAATAGTAGAGTCTTTAACGGACATGTCTTACCAATGTTCATCCCATCCGCCAGGACCACTAAGTCGTCTGCAAATCGCAAGTGTGAGGTATATTGGCCATCGAAATTAATTCCCCGTCCGTTTCAATCGAGCGTCTTGCGGAAACCCTTCCAATGCAATGATTGGTAAACAGTTTCGGAGAAATAACCTCTCTTTGTCATACCCCGCGATGCATTTGGATTGGTCTTGTGCTTTGTTCTTGTACTTGGACGGACATTGTTGCGGCTTCGTAAAGAAATCTCGCCACTTGGATAAATCGGCAGTCGACCAGACATCTCTGCATAGATTCCAGGAAAGTCAAGGTCTCGATGGTGTCGAATTCCTTTTCGTAGTCCACATACTGGTTATAAACTGGTCTACTTGGCTGCTTATAATACCGCGTAATAATTGTAATGATAATGCAGGATGGCACGGAACAATGCTTTGTTACTATACGTGTAATTCTTTAAACAGTGTCAGTCGAAATTGTTTACATATAAAATGGCCTCTCAATTCTTGAAAAACTTATTTTGTAATTTTTTTAGATAAATTAACTTTCTAGCGGTCTAATGAGTAGTATAAAAACAGGCTCACCTTTGCCGATTGGACCCCTATCTACTGGGGCTAGCGGAAGATACCTACCGTTGGCAAGAGGCTCTCGTCCGGATCATGGCTTGGAATAACGTTAATAAAATGGTAACGTTAATTTTGTTCTGCACATAAAACGATACTTAAAAAATAACGATGTAAAATGGTATCTTTATCAATTCTTGACCCCGGTAGAGATCCACGGGGCGTTGTGAAGACCTTGAAACCGGTAGAACAGATCAGTGTCAGCTACATTGCGATAAACATCGAAGCGATCTAAGTATACAGACGTGTAACGCATAATTACTACGGACTATTATTAAATATTGTTTGGGCTTATTTGAGTGTATTAGTAATAAAGTCTCTAAAGCCGGAAGAAAGAATCCAAATCAACGAACCCTATCACGTATCAATATAACCACACTATTTTACACATCGTAGACATGTAATGTTATTTGTACAGTCGTTCTAGTGTTAATTGCATATTAAAACCATTAAAACATTAACCATAATTATCAATTATATGACACATTTATTCGTTTACAGTAATGCACGTTAGAAGCATGATAATATGTTCATACAATTTATCGCATTTTTATGTAAGTACTTACCAATACTACTTTATGGCTATATAGGGTTACACATTACACGTTCCTTTACATATTATCCGTGTGGTAACGGATTAAGAATATGGAGTGTCACCACATGGAGGACAACAGCACTGCAAAGAGAAGGTAAACTTGAAACAAATCCTATACCAATCCGTCTGAGTAGCGTGGTATAGTAGGCCAAAACCTCCTTTCTAAGGAGAGGCCTATGCCCAGCAGTGAACTACTAAAGGCTGTTGATGGTTGATAATTATCACTTATTTATGTACATAAACACGCTCCCTCCCTTCGAGTTGGGCAGAGGCAGAGGCAGCCTGACATACTATTGCTTATTATTAGTTCTTTTATTATCTACTTTTTGTACAAAACTTCTTACATTAAATTCATTTTAAATAAACATTATATCCTCAATTATAGGTACAATACAAATACTTACTGAGAAGTGTAAATGCGGGGAATTTATAGATTTACCTTCTGATTCTGGCGAACCTGATTTGATAAATCAACCTTTGAACACAGAAAAATCATTAACAAATGACCAAAATTTGATGGTACTTAAAACGAATAGTAATAATCCCAGTATATTTGAACAACATAAGGAAATTTTGAGCCGTAATCAAATCGTCAGCAGAAGAATGAGAAGAGAAAACAATGCAGAAGATTTAAGTGATAACATAGTTTTCAAAACAATCTTAAGCGGACTTGTACAGCAATCCGTACTTGATGGCAATCGGTCTTTGCACTCTCTAAATAACATTAGAAACCCAATTAAAAATGAAGCACCTTACCAAATAGGTTTTATCACAAGATATATAAGGCATCAAAGAGATCTAATGAACGATTTTTTTGACATGGCAATAAAATATAGAGAGAATGTTTTAATACTGCAACAAATGAACGTTTTTGAGCACATAATGCACACTAGTGTTAACATAACCAACCTGGTGAGCAGGCTAGTTTCAATACACGTTAAGCACAAAAACAGTAATAAGCAAACACCTCCAGCCGCTCCACATTTGCCTAACGAAGCAGAGACAACCCAAAAGACGGAACGGAGATTATTCCCATTGCGTACCCAAGAAACCAGTAGAAAACCCCCTTATTACAATTTTGACCAAAAGATAAAAGGGCCATGATACGCAATTTATGTTTTTTTGACAAATTAATGAAACGATAAGTGAATGAATGTATGCGTGAATGAATTTATGCGTTAATAACAGAAAAAGATCGATGATTGTCGATTTTAATCGAATATTAGAGTAAGTTATGATTACAGGTTGTAATCTTTGATTGTTTTTCAATTCTCAGCACACTAATACCTCTTAATATTAATTTGAAAATAAGAATTAATTTCTGGGAAATAGAAACATTAGCTTGCGTTGATTAGCTAAAAAACGTGCTCGCGGTTTACTATGGCAACACAAACGGCTTTCCTTGTAGAAGACGTCGCTCTCGACTTGTACTATTTCGACAGCAATAAGAAATGATTCTGTTTAATAGCTTACTTGTAGGTGATTTTATCTCTTTCAATAATTACATCATTACGCATACAGTATACGCATGTAAGTCTATCTACCGTTCAGAGGTCACTGCTCTCAAAATAAGTGAAAATAATATCAGGTTTAATATATTATTCCGTGTGATGACGGTTTAAAAATACGGAGTTTAACCACCCCTATTCATCCCGTGGGTGTCATAAAAGCCGGCTAATGGAGCAGGTGGAGTGGAGTGGTGTTACCTGCGTAGTTACGCAGGTAACACCACTGTGAAGAGAAGGAAAACTTGAAACAGACCCTATACCAACCCTATACCAGGGTAGTATATTAGGCCAAAACCTCCTTTCTGAGCAGAGGCCTATGTCCTGCAGTGGATTATTAAAGGCTGCTGATGTGATGTGATATTACTATCAGGAATACAATATTATTAACGGTTTATGGATTTTGTTTTCCTGAGATGTCAGCTGTAGGTACATGCATGTTTTATCAGAGTTGTTGATTCAAGATTTATTTATTACACAACCCAATAAGCATAGATTTTAATATACTCACTGACATTCAGATAAACACTTTTCAATTCATTTTTTGTAAATACGAAATATGTAGGAACATGCATATTAATATAAACGACCACGACCCACTATAGTCGTTAAGAGCATGCATATTCATAATAAATAAAATACTACATGCCTACATTACGCCTATAGCCCCGAAAGGGTAGGCAGATATGTGTTAGACACCCTCACTATGCCGATTATCACTCTCACGCAATGAGTACGCCGCTTCAGGAATTAGCCGTGCAAATTGGTAGTAAATTTAAAGGAAAAGAAGGTAAGTTAGGGCTTGTAATCCGGTCATATTTAGTAACTTGCTGGAGGTTTTGAGTGTTTCCACGGCTTAAAACAGACTAAAAAATTAAAGACACCTCTGTGGTTTGTTTCGGCGTTTCTTCCGAGATTCTTAGGAAATGCCGCCTCGAGCTGTAGGAGCATACCTGGCATTATCGTATGGTAAAGCTGTTCTTTTTTTGGTAAAATCTGAATGTACAAAATTCACAATAAAAATATTCAGTGAAAATAATCAATAAACAGAATCTCTCGCGTTAAAAAAACAATAAAAAGATCAGTCAACAATATGAAAATGATTTATTTTTACAACACTTATTTGCTATTGACTACTACCTATTACTAGTATTGTATGTTGTATTACTAGTATTGTAAAAAGGGGGTTGATTGTCATAGCCGAGCTTTCTAAAGTCTTTAGAAATCATATTAAGTGTTGCTGACACGCTCCCATATGATTCCGTCCTGAGTACTGAAAACAAAACAGACCTGTATAACAGAGTTTCGAGGGCTAGGATTAATGAAATGAGAAAAAAGGAGTTCCACGTAGTGATTTACCACGTCAATAGTCCTAGAAGTCAATAAAAAAAAAAGAGGTTACACGAAAAGTAACTAATGAGTGCTAATACAAAAATGGTGTTTAGTTTTTTTTGTAATTTTTGCAATGTATGGGTGTTTTCTTTAATATGACCAAAGCTCTTAGATTTGGTCATTTTAGCCATTCATGTAGTGCATGAAGAAACCTTTTTTATCGTTCGCCACTTGTCCAATCTATAATAATTTAGTGAATGTTGTCAAGGTGGGTAGTAGTGGGTAGTTTGGGTGGGTAGAGATCACCATTAGCGATAAGACCGCCCATTGTACTCCTGTTTTAATGATAAGTCTCTGTTCATGTTATTGTTACTTGACTTGACATTGTGACGCTATAAAGTGCAGAATATGGGACCAATTACGATGACAAATAAAGCGCTCTCCCTTAACGAAACTACTTACAGTAATTATCCTTGCCAGTAGCCAACATTTTCGGGTCTGCTAATTCAGGATATTTGCCGGTGATCCAAGCCAGCCATTCCCCTAATACGGTTGCCGCTCGGGGTCTCAACAAAGGAGCTGATGTCAAGAGGTGACCAGGAGTGGGAGGCATCAGAAGCAAAGAATAACCGCGTAACGCATCACCGCTTAAAGTATTCTGTGCCCTTACTGTGACAAGTAACTGAGGCCCTAAGAGTAAAGAATTAAATTAATTTAAAGAATTAAATTATTTTTAGGATATTCACGTTCGTACATTATTACTTTACATTGGAGAAAAAACTTACATCCAGAGACATTTGTGCTGCTAAATACGATTTCTAAAGGGAAATTAAATACTACCCGCTCTGGGTCAACACCAGAGCGTGCCATCTGACTTGTACCCGACGTTAAACCGGACATAGGACTCCAATCAGGACCCCAAACAACTTCATAATGTACACACAGCTGGTCATCAAATACGCCACCGGGAAAAGATACATACTCAATCTGACCACTAAAAGACACAAGAAATTTTGTAATCTCACTGTCTCTCATTGTATAAAACGTATAAAAGTTACAATTCTCGCAATAAAGCGTGTTCCACTTCGATCAACAGAATAATCAAGAACAATGGAAACAAAACAAAACGTTACTATAGCAACGAAATGTCTCGTATTACCAGTAAAAAAATCCATTTTGTTTTTGTCCATTTGGAAGTATGTTTACGCTTACTACTACTTTTTCTAAATGTCATTCTCATATTATCTTTGAAAGAATATGATCATTATTAATATATTTAACATTTTAAAAACGTTTTGATTGGTTTTGGTAAATAATAACATGACTGGTTTTTTTTTTACTTAGACGCGACTTCCAGAGACAAAGCTGAACATGCTTCCGCTCGACTGTTTTATCGACATGTTTATAAAGCTTTGCCACTAGGTGGCGCTAAAGGTGCTTTCAAAATCCCAATCGGCCACCATTGTGAAGGCAAATCTATTGAATACTTTGAGGATTTTTACTTTTTTATGATCGCAATCAGCGAAATATAAAGTTTTATTTGGTAAGATTCAGTGCCCAGTATTTCGCCAATCGAATCCAAACTAATAATTGTGATAAAAGTGCTTAAATTCAAAACCCTAATGCGTTTAAAATGTCACGCGAAGTGAGCATCAAATTTGTGAACACCATACCATGCACTAAATATTCTTAGTTTTCATCTCAATAAGCGTTCGTTAACTGTGGAAGTGTATCGTTTTGCACCAAGGATACGTGTGGCACGCTGTGGATAGATGAAAAATTTTACGTGCGCTGATGAAAACGTTTCAGAAGTATCTGTACACGTCGTAAGGGAGCGCAGTTACGCGGGCGAAGGCTTCAAACTTGCCGGCATCATTATGGTGGACTGAAGGAGTGTTAGTTGACGGATCTGTGTTGAATACGTGTTGTAAACAGTGTCGCGAGGGTGCCGCGCACGATGTCGGGCGGCTCTCAGCACAACCCCAATGGTCGACAATCGCAGCTGGGCTCGCAATGGAGCCCCCTGCAGGTGGTGCTTATTATTCACGTATTGTTGTTCACTAACTAACCTATATCAGTTTCGTAACATCCTGTCGAAATCATTTGATTTGAATGTTTTATATACTCGATTGCATTTTTCCGATAGTTTAAGCTGTTCAAACATACTACGAAAACATGAGCAAAGTTTTAAAAACAATTTAACTTTCATGTAAGTGTGTATTTGCTTTGTATGTAGGTTTCATCTTTTACCAATCAGCTGTTTGCATTGACACACTATATAATGGCATTTCACTTACATTCAAATACATAGCACAGATAATTAATATTATTCTTTGTTATTATTTTAACGTACTTCACAATAGTTAACTTTATTTTATTGATTGAAACCAATTTACAATTTTAGAAAACATAATAAATGTAAGTAACATTTAAGAAATAAATTGCTTGAATAAGTATTACAAACTGCCTTGAATTATGTAAAACACTAGTAAAACTTTGGACAATGCTCTACAATGAAAAAACATGTTTTCCCTTTTTTCTTTCTTCTATAGTCAGACAGGCGTACAACCAACACTAATTATTATCTAAGATACAAAGATAAGATACTAATTTCTGGCTGCATTTATTTCCTCCACAGTTTTTTTTAAATGACTTGTGTACAAAGCAAGAGATTATCTTCACTTCAATTAAACATACTGTTTTTAATTCCAACTATTATGAATTTTCGAATACTTGAATAAGCTAATTATTAATTAGTAATGATTAATCTACTAAAATTCAACCAACTTATGAAGTATAGTATTATTGCACAGATATATCACTTCTTACATTTAAAGGTTATTATACTGCATATATATAAATGCTAAGTTGGTTTGTGTACTCTTCAAAAACTCCAAAGGTTGTGCACTGGTTGACCTCAAATTTTGACATGTTATACAACTTGATTCGAAGATTGATTATATCTATTTTTACATCAGTTAATCAGTAATGTTTCTTATTTCACATCAATGCAAACACAATGTGCCACAGAAGAGTGGCAGGGTACATCGAGTAATACTAAACCTATAATGTTTTATACTTAAACTTTTATGTAAATGGGTGAGTATATAGTGCTGTCTAGTCAAGTATATTTAGTACCAGGACAACAAAAAATCTTTATAATTACAATTAAAAACAAAATAATTTTAAATTTATTATTTTGTTACTTGAATATGTTGTTTTAAAAATTATACATGTTTATTACAAAATGTTATGCTTGTTATATGAGTTAATTAGAAACATTGAATTGTTGTAATATAAATTTATATAGAAATAATTGTTAGTTAGACATAATTAATAACAAATACACAGTCCCTAATAATTGAGCAAGGCCTTTTACTGTAGCAATTACTGCAGTGATGGCAATATGCCATGTGCTTTTCTGTCATTTTTTCATTAATTGCAAAAGTTTCAAGTTTTAAAGTTTTTTTTATATTTTGTACAATACTTTAATTATTGTATTTATTAGGTGTTAGTTTAAAAGATGTTTTAAAAACATTGTATAATTAGGAATGTAGTGACCCTGTATTTTGTTCAATGACTTATGTGTAATTTTTTAAATAGGTAGATTTACTGACTAATGTAAGTCTGTGCATTTGAGTAATGTTGCCATAACTCTATCTTTACATAATTGATTATTCATATTTTTAGCTAGATGCTATATTATCATGGGAGAGCTATGCTTTAGCACCAAACATGGGTACTCTAGCGCGAAAACCTCTCCTAGGGTAGGACTCAAAGTGTGGCAACTCATTTGAGACCGATCACCTGGCCCAGGCTCCTTGTTTGCCCCTATACCAAGAAATAAATGAAAAAATCTAGCACCTAGCCTTGTTGGTCATACAGCCATTTTTCCCAACTGTGATGATACTAATTAGAGTAAATTTATTTTATTTGTGAAGTCAGTATTTGCCAAAAACATTTTTTTTTAAATGAAAGAAGTCAATGGTAAAAAAGATAAAAGAAAGAAGTATAAGAATATTAATTTTTAACACAGAAGTGAAAACTTAAATAGATTATGGAAAAAAAGTACCAAATACCTAATGTATAGTTCATAAAAACTAAAAATATGTAGAATCTGCTAGGAATTCAATCATAAAAATTGGTCCCTTATATTTAAGAAAATTGCAGACAAAAAACAGGTGCACACATGCATTGAATAAGAACCTCTTTTGAAGCTTATTCAAAAAGGGAATCCCCTTTTATAGTACAACTAGCTTTATGTAATATTGGGTCTAGAATATTTTAATATCAAACACTTCATCATCGTCATCATTATCAGCCTATCACAGTCCACTGCTGGACATAGGCCTCTCCTATTGCACACTCCTTTGATCGATTTTCGACTTCTCAAACACAAACAAACAAAATAAAACATTTGACAATCACAAAATAAAAAAAAATCTATCTTCTTAAACTAATAACAATTTGGTGAGATTTTGTTTAACATAACCTAGATAGACTCTATTGGACAAAATACTTTTTAAACAAGGCCAATTGACCCTTTCTAGGTCATTAATTCATTCATCAACTGGCCTCTTGATGTGTGATGAGCTTGATCATTCTTTCTGTATCTAGGTGTAATTTATCTTATCTTATGTATATATGTGTGTTTATCAGCAGTCTAGTTACCATAGTAATCGGAACAGTATGGAGACCAAACTTTTATTATGAGAATTAGCCTTCAGACTGCTATGTGTAAGAAGTATCAAGTTATGTTGAAGAATGTATTAAGTACTAGACTCCAATGATTCAAAAATGGTTTACTTCTGTAAATACACACTTGACAATTGTATCTAGATGTTGACACAAAAATTAGGTGCATTAAACCCTAGGTCCACTCAGATTATAAATAATAAAACACTGGTCATAACCAACTTTATTATTTCTGATAAGCTTGAAACAAAATATCGAATTGTTCATTAAAATGCAACTATGCATGCTCTCAGTTACAGGTTGCAAATCTTCTGGCTCGAGCGCCTCAAGCGCACATGGCATCGGACAGAGGCGTTACGTGGCACACACCAACGCCTCCAGCCCATCTCTATCACGTACCAGCGCCATCACCCCCCGACCCACTTCAGGTATGATCATTATCCAAAGCTAATTGGGGACCACCATACTCTTAAATATTGTCATAAAGTCACCTGCTCATGGGTTTTTTATAGAACTTATTGGTCTTGGAACTCAGTTAATACTCACTATTTCTTCGCTAATAGACTTTTACCATAATATTGACGAAAACCAAAAATGTCGCCAAAGTAAATAACTATAATACAGGAATAAGTACTTTTAATACATGTACATGTGTGCTAATCCCTTCGATACAAAGGGAGAGGCCTCTTATCAGATCAGGTTATCACGTCTGGCTTACTGCGGCCCATCTTTTTTAAATCTTGTAAATCTGTAAATAAAGTAATCAAGCACAAAATTACCGAAAAAGGGAATTTAATGGCCAATATAATAGCTTTTTTAAGGTTTTTCTTTCCTTTTTCACATATCTTTTAGAAGTAGTGTAGCACCATGGTATAAATAGCAGGGTTCAGACTTCTAATAGTCAAATAAAAAAAAAAAGTTTTGTCATGCAAGAAGAAACCGCAAAACTAACTTGTAGAGTTATCAAGTAAAACCCAAATCACGTCATAGTATGAAAACGAGATGTACATATACATATATAGTTTGATATAGTTGTACATGTAACTTGGGTATCTGGTTTTTTGTTAAACCAACATGCAGGCATGCAAAAAACAGATAAAACAAACGCAAACGATCAATTTCTTTTTTTATTTTAAAATATACTTATATACCTAAATACATGTTCCCTAACTTTAGCGTCAAATAGTTGCCACATAGTTTAAATGCATGCATTGCAATTTGGCATCCTAATAGTAAACAAGCCATTAAAATTAATGTCCCTGTGAATATATATTGTAAACGAGCTTAGACGGGAGTCAATCGTTTAGTTTATCAGTGATATGCAACTTAACACACTCGACCATCACCATAATTCGCCTCATCACTCTACTAACTACCATGTATATTAACCTGCCTTATCGATCACTATCGTAGGGTCTGTTGCAATTGCAGGCGTTGAAATCCGGCTCCAACTCAGTGTTCAGACATACGGCCACCCCTCCAGAACTGTACAGACATACGCCCACACCACCGGACAAACACCTGATGAGGTAAGTTCCGTCAAATTCATTTTTTTTTTTTTTTTTTAAATTATCTCACAAAAATCTTGAACTTAATCCAAGTTGTAAACTAATTTAAAATCCACCCATTTTATTCTTTATCGTGTAAAAACTATGTTACTATACTTTTAGACACACTCCGTCACCTGGCGACATGAAAAATCCAACGTTACCGCCAGACATATATCAACACTTAGGATCGAGCCGAGGTAACTGTTTATTTTCTACATGATATTCATTAATATCCGCGTCGAGCTTGTCATAATTATAATGTCTTCATGAATTCCACAGATAAAATGCGTGCAGATGAATTGCTCGCTTCTTATGCACGCGTGGGCGTGGATCTGTCACTGAGCAGCGGGCGAGCATCGAACGGTGCCGCCACCTCACCTGCTCCACCAGGATTGCCCACACCCTCCACCGGCCCACCCACGCCTACCGGGGCTCCTCCTTCATTGTCGGTTCGGGACGCACCCACTATCAATAGCCTCATAGCGCGGGCGCAGCCTCGACATCCGCACGCGCGGGTCGATGCGCTCCTAGAGAGACTAGTTCCCTCTCCGGTTTCTCCCCACTCGGTCATCGTACATTCGCGAGTTGCCCCTACTCCCTCGCCGCCCTCGTCCAACGAAGACTCGGCGGACTCCTGTGGAGCTCCACCGGGGTCTAAACGTAAACGTAAACCCGAACGTACAGTCCGCGTGCCTGTACCCCCACCTCCGACTAACGTAAGCCTGAGCCCCGCCGTCGCCCCTTCGCAGCCCGCACCGGCTCTCGTACCGCGAGTTACTCCACCACCGAGCGAAGCCGAACCGAAAGTCACACCGAAGACACCCTCACCACCGTTAGAAAACGGCGACACCGCCCACGCGAAAACCAACGGACCCGACGAGCGCCCGCCTTCCCCACGCTCCGACCAACCGCACGCTAGAAGAAAAACGCGCTCGGGCTCGGCGGAAACGATAGCGGACATCGCGGCCATGATTGCCGACACGGACCGCGTGTCGGTCGGTCCAATTTTGCCGCCGCCGGAGCCTCCCGCCGCGCTCTCCGTGGACAAGCTCCGCAGCGTGCTGGCCAGCCCCGACGCTCCGCGCACTGAACCCAGCGGCGCCGTCGAGCCCAGCGTGCCGTGCACGGCCGAAGCCGCCCCCGCTCCCGCGGCCGTTACTCCCCCGACGGTGGCCGCGCCCCCCACCCCGCCCGCGCCTCCTCCCGCACCTGCCGCTGCGCCCCGGCGACGTAGCGCCCGCACCTCTAACCCCGAAGCTCCCAACGTTCCAGTCGAATCCCCGTCGGAGGCGAAACCCGCCGAACCTGAAGCGAGCGATGCGAGCACCGCCGAACCCGCGGCGGTCAGCTTCGTCGAAGTCGAGAACCAACTGGAAAAGATGTTCGCGGGCATCGAGGAGGAACCGTTGTCGGAGTCCGCGCCTCCCGGCACGGATGCCACTGACGCGTGTGACGGTGGGGCCGAGGGCGGCTCTGGCGCGGCCCGCAAGCGCCGCCGCTCGGCGCCAGCGCGGCCCGAGCGGCGCGCGCCCCGGGGCCTGCCCTCGGACGACTCGCCTCGGAAGAAGCAACAGAAAAAGAAGCAGGACACCAGACGTCCTCGCAAAGGTCCCAGAGAATCCTCTGCAAAAGACGCCTACGATTCCGGCAGCAATGCCAGTTCGAGCAAGTCGCGGGGACCTTATATACAGGTGAATTATAAAATGTATCTTTATATTTAAATAGACATCATGGCTATACACAGACAGAAAAGATATGTTTTGTGTTTTAACGTCGTTATAAAGTTTAAAGAAAGACTACTCCAAAGGGACATCTTAGTAAATGGTAGTCCTCTCTTTTTGTAAAAAGATATAACGTGACAAACTTAAACACCCCAACGCAAAAACGACGGGGTTTTTAAATTTGACGTGTTTGTGTGTCTGTCTGTGACATCGTAGCTCCCGAACGGATGAACCGATTTTGATTTTGTTTTTTTGCTTGAAAGGTGAGTTAGACGGAAGTGTTCTTAGCTATGTTTGACGAAAATCAGTTCAACATGGAAGCCGCCACCGAATAGTGGATCACTTATTTTTTCACAACTCCCTCAATATGCATATCAAACGAAAGGGCTCTTTGCAGTGCTATTGTCCTGCGTAGCATTGTAGACGAGTCGGTGCGAGTGGGTCGATAATATTTGATTTTTATATCTTCTAGATACGGGGGCCTCGGGATTCTCCCCTCAGCGTGAGCGTCATGAACACTTCGACCGGCGAGGAGGAGGACACCGCCACGAGACGAAAAGGCGGCGAAGAGTTCCGTAACGGGGTCCGGGGCGTGCGTGCGGTCAGGGGACTGCACGCCAGCACGCTGGGGCTGCGGTACGACGCCACCACGCCCGACGTCACGTGGCTCTGCGCCTTCTGCCAGCGACGGCCCCACGCCGCGTCGCTCGGGGACCTGTTCGGGCCCTACCGACTCGACATGGACTGCGAGGAATTCAGGTGAGAAGCGTCTCGCGCGCTACGACACGCGAGCACCGAGGCGCGAGGTCTAACGAGGTCTAACGAACCCGTTCGTCGACAGGGCGCTGGACGAGGCGAGCCGGCGGCGCTACTGCTCGGACGTGACGGGCGCGGCGGACGAGGTGTGGTTCCACGCGGAGTGCGCGCTGTGGGCGCCGGGGCTGCTGGCGGCGGGCGCGCGCGTGTGGGGGCTGGCGCCGGCCGTGTGGGGCGCGCGCGGCGCGCTGTGCGGCGCGTGCGGCGCGCCGGGCGCGGCCGTGGCGTGCGGCGCGCGCGCGTGCCCGGCGCGGGCGCACCTGCCCTGCGCGCGCGCCGGGCCCTGGGCGCTGGGCGACGACTTCCGCGCCGCCTGCCCCGCCCACCGCTCCTAATCTGAACCTTAGCTTACGTGTACATATAGGACTAAATGTAAATATCGGTTTCGTGCGTTCGACACCGTTTTGTAAGACGTAAAATGTACTATAGCCGTCGCGTCGCGTCGTAGTGTAACCGGTGCAGTATTGGCGGCCGAGCGGTGCGGCCGCGTGCCGATGGTAGAGTTTATCTCGTGTAAATAAACCGAGTCCGGTCGGAGTGATCGACGGAGGTTTGTGATGAGTAATACTAAAATTATTTATTCGATATTATAGTGAAAATCTCACCTCTTTTTATGATCTTTTAAATTTATCTATATTTTTGTTTACATATATTATACGCGTAGGGACTCATCACGAGCTGGAGTTGACGCCGCGATTGTTTGTTGTTGACATGATCATGTAACAATGCAGTGATATTTTAAAGTAATAAACGGACCTGGGATTGTAATAAGTATATTTTTTATGTAAAAAATATATAAATAAATAAAACAACTGTTTAGTTGCCATTTATAGTATCAAAAACTAGTCTAAATAAATAGTGTCTTGTGATTTAAATAAAAAGTATATAAAAAATCGTTTTGGGGTCTATTAAAATTTACATTTTTAGCTTGGTAAAGGAATATATAAGTGGATACTGCATTGTTATCGGTGGATAAATAAAGTAAATGATACACGAATGTGGACGTGTAGCGCTCTTATACTTAATGGTTATTTATACCGAAAACTTACGCTTACATAATTTAAAGACGCGGCCCTTCAAATGTTTTGTACGATCGACACTATTGTCTGGACAGCTATCGAAAATGACGCTAAAGCCATAGATATATTATATACGAGATCAGAAAACTTTTTTAGTAACTAAATAAAGACATGACTTGGTAATATACACTTTTAAGCTTATCTTGATTTAAAGAAAATAATATTAACACGACTCTAAGGATCTGCCGGGTGTAGATCACAATAAAACATTAGTACTATGTTACTAAATACTTTCTGGGTGTCGAATTGTAATTGCATCGTAAAGTATACTAACTTGTGCCCGTGGCTCCGCCTTCGTGTGACGCTCGGTTATCACGTTAAAAAGTAGCTTATGTCTTTCCTCAAGAATCAAAGTATCTGCATGCCAAATTTCATTAAAATCAGGCCAACGGTTTAGCCGTGAAAACGTAACAAACAAACGTAGATGTCAATGTTTGAATATTTTTTAAATGTCATGTCACACAATCAGATCATTGCGGTGCGGCGCCACCGCACCGTCAACGCTTCGTGTAACCTTGCTCTTACACAATTCCACTTGACTTAACTACAGCGCGATTTACAAAAATTAATAACGCCATCTATAACATTAAAAACTAAACAACTAAAAATAAACTTAGTCATAAGTGTAGATGTTTTTCTTTTTCTTAGACGATAATTTATATTGTTTTGTATTACATGTCGTTACTAATGCCTGCAGAGAGCTTGTCGTGTCTGTACTGTACCTTACTTCGATACTCTTTACTCCTACTCCATTTCAGCAAGACTAGGTATCTGACAATATGCAATACACTACATTATGCTATAGTTGGTGCCACATAAGATGCTAATACAAGTCATTAACCCTACTTTCATCCCGATATTTCTAATAAGGTCACATGACAAATCGTTTTCGTATAAAGCTATCGCTAACTAGTCGCTAACTAATATCATTTGAATTTCATAATACATAGGAACAAAGGGATCAGATATAAGTGAGAAATATACAAATTGAAAGACTATCAAATACGAAATTTATAAGTCGTAAATGTTAATCTAATGAATTTATCCTTTTTTGTCCGGATTATATATTTATTATTTAAATGGAAAAAAACGTGAAAATAATATTTTAAACACACCTTTATTAACTCTTTTTTTTAATATTGTTATCTCGTGAAATTTCATTAATATTAAAGTGTGTTTATTAAAATCACAGCTAAAATATCAAATGTTAAAAAACCATAAAAGGCCTTGAAATTACGTCTGACATAATTTCGAAATCAAAACTTATGCAGTGTTAACGTAGTCCAAAGAGTAATATAAACATTGGATTACGTACTCCATTGTGTGTACGGATTGTGTTCTGTCTAGACGACCCTTCACCACGATTCACTACCGATACTACTTTACGTCGTTACGGGCACATTGAAACTATCGCTATTGTAAATTAAGAATATCGTTGTTGGGGGGTGGGGAATTACCGCTTTTGCCATGGTATCTGGCACCAACTATATGCAATAACCGTGTCATGAGCTTAAGATGAGAAGTTAATCCATGTTTATCCATAAAATCTTCTGAATTACCCACTTGATAAGATGTCAATAACATTGAAAGGGATTGCACTTCAACCAAATCAAGTATTTTTTGTGTACTGCCCGTTATCTGTAATAAAATAATATAAACTTACTATTGCCTTCAGCTTCGCTCTGAATTATTTCTAACTTTTAAAATGACAACCTTTCATCCTTTATTTTACCCCCTTATGGTTGAAATTTCAAGTTTGTAGCCCTAAACGGCTTAGGCTTTGCGTTGCTGAATGAATCAGCAAGTAATTTTACATGTAACAATTAAGGATACGCCGGCTCGTTATCATTGTATATCTGCGGGTACAAGTAGGAATACGGATTATTAAAGTTGATAAGAATATGTTTTCTCAATTAATACAAATACGCATGCGTTTGACACGCACTTTGATATTGAAGAGTTTGAAGACTATACAAAACGACATGTATCGACTTGTTTGCTTATGTTTTTTTTAATAAAAAAAATCATACACATACGTTATGGATTTGTAATTTAATCACGTTATAAGGAGCATAACTAGTAACACTTACTAAAGAATTAGTATTTAATTAAACTACAATAGATTAAACATTTAGTTTGGACTAGATACATTTAGAAGTTAAAAATAAAGGATACAGAGACATCTTTTTTGTCACTCGGTTATCCGCATATAGGTACATCATTCGAACACGAAAAACTTCCTTAATGCTGTACTAATGACGAATAAAATTATATCGCGGTTAAAAATGAAACCCTAAACAGTCTTGTAAAATTAGTTACAAAAAGTATCGTGACATATATGTAGGCATGTACGAGTATAATGATCAGATACATTGTGTATATATATATATATATATATTGCAGATATTGTTCATAAACAGACTTCATAAGCATTTCTTTACGACCAACTTAAGGTAGATAAACTAGTAGGGTTATTCCAAAAAGGGTAGATTTATAAATTGAAACATCGAAATAAAAAATGTAAGAGAATAAATTTCTCATCTAGTACTTAACATATCTATGGCTTACCGACGCAGCAATGTTAAAAGTGAACTCATTTTAATAATAATGTTGTATTTCTTATATAATTTGTTTGGACGACAGTTGAACGATGAGGAAGGTGTGTAATGTTCCACCTCGTACAAACGTTTGGAGCGCGGACGTATAAGGGTACCATAGGAAGCAGTTTCGTTTGCCTGACAGTGTAACGAACCTGCATAAAGTACTTTAATTCCAGTGTATAGAAAAAAAAATAGACTTTATTTAGAGAACGTTAAGGTACAAATTTATTGTAGGAAAAATAAATCAGGCCAGTTTAGTGTTTTTAAAAAATATATGAATTCGGACAATTAATATCGATTCTGTCGAACAATAACAGCATCCCAAAGCCTCTGAAATGTAAATGGTGTAAGAATTTTTTTATCACTTAGGGCAAATGATTACTTTATTAAGTATGTAATTGTTATAAATTATATTTATCATGACATTATAAGCAAATTGAAATACAACATGTTTAAAATGAGAGTGTTGGCTATTATTTTCTTTATTTACTTATTTATATTATTTATTCCGAAAGTGAGATTGCGGTTTTGAAAATTGCTCTTACGCTCCTTGCGTAAAAACAATTTTCAAAACCGCATATCAGTATTTTCTATGTTCTAACAGGAGGAAGAAATAAGCAAATCTTTATCGCAGCAGGATTTTAACTTGTTTTGCGTCTTTAATACAAACTTTTTCGTCGTAACCGTAAAAGGTTTTTTTAATATACAATAACAGAGGTTATATCACTATTATCTTCTTATTGGTTACAAACGTTAATTAGGCCAAACCACATATTAAGACTAAGATATAGAATTTGTGAAGTTGGGGCGTGTAGAGTTAGAGCTTGGATCTTCATGAGATATAGGTACATATGTAATAAACAAAATACAATCATTAAAAACATTTTTTTTTTGTAAATATATAAATAGACTCTGTAAATTTGAAAGTATTTACAATATATTGCGACTTTTGTAAATTCGCTGAATTGCAAACTGATTTTCGCTGCCAGTTAACCTTTGGGTGATGTGGAGCTGTGTGCTCTAATTCACAGCCCTATTTTAGCCTTAGATAATAGGGTGGTTTCCTATCTCTTCTTCTTTAATGTCCTATGTCCCCTGGATGAGGCAGAGAGCGTTTACAGCAAGTATTTTAGTTACCTTCCACCTTTCGCATACATACAGCAGTACGGATTTAACGTTGAATAGAATAATTAACTCTTCGAGTCGATATTGACTGCCACACGAATCGTAGTTGTGCGAAGGCAGCTCGAGACTTTCCAATATGCAAAGTGATGTCTTCTGCGGTACTCCCCGTTTCTTACACAACGCTCCCGAGGTATGTAAATGTAAGGTGGTTAAAATAAAACCTATAATCACATATTAGTGTGCGTTACCCCAGCAAAATAATGTCAAAAATGGTCATTTAAACTTTATAGATAATTAGTTGCTCCCCTTCTGTAATTGTTAGGCACATTTTTAAATTTGTTTCACATAAACTTTTTTAGTTATTTCAAAAAAACATTTCCTGCTGGGGTAACGTTTGAAACGTTACCGCAGCCAGACATTTTCTTTTTTAATTGTAATATTGAAATAAATTTTAGCTAAATAATTAGTTATCTGGACTAGGTAAATGTTACAACTTATTTGGTATTTGTATTTGAAGTTATTCGAAATCCTGCTGGAGTAACGTTTGTGGGTTTGCTGGATCTCTGAAACGGGTAAGCGGATTGTAACCATTTTTTGTACATAACTTCTTAAGGATTAGTTTTAATTTGTTCGACAATAAAATAACAAAAATTATGGACAGTTTAAAAATTATTTAGGTAAGTATGAAAACACTTCAATACGTCCTAACACTTTAAATAAGACCTCTAAAGATTTACTTGAAACGTTATTCTATTGCTTGTAACTTCCTTCAAATGTATACGAATTTTCGTAAGAATACTGTAAGTGACTAAAAAGTTATGATGAAATGTAGCTCTCCACGTTCACGATCACAATGTGTGCGGCCTTTTTTGGCCACCGATAAACCTGTGTGTGGATATATAAACTGATTGTTATGCCAATAATTAGTTGTTTAGTTCAGTTGTCTACCTGTAAAATTTCAGCGTAGTACATATAATAATTTACGAGATAATTAAATAAAAGTCATTTGAAGGTGCAAGACCGTGGTAACCCGACCATGTTTAGGTGGTTACAAAAAAGCGATCACCCAGTACATTGCGCTGTCTTTTAAAATGTTTAGTGTAATACACCTTACGATTTCGGTACAGTTGCGTACAGTGTTAAATACATTCAATATTTATTAATTATTATTACCTATTATTTATTTTCTTTTTTTCCCTAATTGATCTTAAGCACTAGTTTCTTTACTTAAAATTTCTTTAGTCTTTTTGACTACCGGAGCTACAATCAACAGAAAATCTGCACTGGTCCGCTAAAATTATAAATATGTAGATACATGTATGAACGATTCACCTGACTGCAATAAATCGAAAATTTAAACCAATAAGAAATCGTTTCATTTCTTTGATTTTTTTTGTAAAGAAATAACACTAAAGTAATTGTATTTTATTTTGGGGTGTATAGAGCTTAGACTTGAATGCATCAAAATATTTAAAGCAACAAGTCATCTACAATAAGTTAAAATAGACCGAATAGTAGAAGAATACAGTTGTAAATTAGAATGCATCAACATTGCATCGCCCAACAGTCGTATACCTAAGAGTAGGTAATATTGTTCTGTAGTCTATACCGAGAACCGAGAATTATCTATACCTATGTACCTACCGTTAAGCGTTGAGCCCGTGACTGTTGATTTCTGTTAAAAACGAACAGTTGTTGAATGATATTTTGATATAATAACGGTAATTTAATTTATCGAGTGAAAGTGATACATTTTTATAGATAAAATTATTGGTCACATAATATTTGTCAATCAAGAATCGCTGATAATACATCCTTCGCTAGAACGCGGGAGGGGAGGGGCGAAGGGATACTTCATTGTTTGCAATTTGCATCTAGTGCACTAAACTTGACCCTTGCTCAGATAATATACGTGTTGTAAAGTACGTGTGCGCTTCCGCTTTCTATTTTTGCAAATATTTATCGTATTCTTGAGAGTTCTTCGATATGTGTGTACCTAATTACTAATAATGGGCATTAATGCTAATTAGATTCAATTTAAGTAATTGTCAATTCTTGTCTTAGGATATTAATTACTAATGCTAATATTGAAATTTCGTTCAGGGTGAACAAATTAAAAACGATCATAACTTGTAGGTAGGTATATCACTTATTACTAATTTTACATAAATATTTTTTTTATTATAATTTAACTCACCGCGATTTTGTGATCAAATATTTTATTTTCACCAAAATTATTACAGAAATATTGCAATACAGAGTTTGTTCGCGATATGCTAGCCTAAGTCGATTCATCATTTAAAAAAATCCCCATCTATTCACAAAATACCTATTTACAACGCATACGTCACACTCTTCAAAACTTAAATTACCTATACCTACCCTAAAATTAAACTTCAATTAACAAATACTACGCAGGTACCAATTCTATGAACAACTATAAACAATTCACCTAAACATTACGAGAAAACAAAATCATTCAAAACAATACCTAATCTCCCGGCTGATTACTAATTATTCAATAAACAATCCTAAATAAAAATTATTTAAAAAACATGGAGTTTTTTGTAACACTTATGTACATATCTGTAGTAAACTTGCAAATAATATCCTACATATTTTAAAAGCCAGCACAATGTACTGGGTGATCGCTTTTTTGTAACCACCTAAACATGGTCGGGTTACCACGGTCTTGCACCTTCAAATGACTTTTATTTAATTATCTCGTAAATTATTATATGTACTACGCTGAAATTTTACAGGTAGACAACTGAACTAAACAACTAATTATTGGCATAACAATCAGTTTATATATCCACACACAGGTTTATCGGTGGCCAAAAAAGGCCGCACACATTGTGATCGTGAACGTGGAGAGCTACATTTCATCATAACTTTTTAGTCACTTACAGTATTCTTACGAAAATTCGTATACATTTGAAGGAAGTTACAAGCAATAGAATAACGTTTCAAGTAAGTCTTTAGAGGTTTTATTTAAAGTGTTAGGACGTATTAAAGTGTTTTCATACTTACCTAAATAATTTTTAAACTGTCCATAATTTTTGTTATTTTATTGTCGAACAAATTAAAACTAATCCTTAAGAAGTTATGTACAAAAAATGGTTACAATCCGCTTACCCGTTTCAGAGATCCAGCAAACCCACAAACGTTACTCCAGCAGGATTTCGAATAACTTCGCAGCCGAAGAAAATACAAATACCAAATAAGTTGTAACATTTACCTAGTCCAGATAACTAATTATTTAGCTAAAATTTATTTCAATATTACAATTAAAAAAGAAAATGTCTGGCTGCGGTAACGTTTCAAACGTTACCCCAGCAGGATATGTTTTTTTGAAATAACTAAAAAAGTTTAAGTGAAACAAATTTAAAAATGTGCCTAACAATTACAGAAGGGGAGCAACTAATTATCTATAAAGTTTAAATGACCATTTTCGAGATTATTTTGCAGAGGTAACGCACACACATATTATGTGTTTATTTATTTAATAATGATTAATTTTTAAAATCTAACTTCGCTGATATGCATTTTACAATCATAGAAAGAACAGGTAGCTGCCAAAGATTTTTCTTCGTCGAACTTCCAGTCAGCGCCGTATGCTATGCTTTCATGTTCCATGTATTCACTTAGGATCTCCACATTGTCATGCACTTGTAAAACCCTGAAACCCCCGTACATGCAAGCGGCCAATACCACTTGAGACTTGAATGGATGCCATTTCAAACGCCAAACCCCTCCTTTGACGTTCTCTTCCTTGAGGCAGGATTTTAACTGTCTTGTGTCCCAAAGACGAACTTTTTCGTCGTAACTGTAAAAGGTTTTTTTAATATATAGTAACAGAGGTTATGTCACTATTATCTTGTCATTCGTAACCTTTGCAAGAAATTCAATACTTATTACATAATGGGATGGCATTATGGCAACATCAGTCCCCTAAGTTGAATAGGATACCTAAAAAAACTTGCCAAACTGATCAAGTCATTTTATATTTTCCCAAAGAAGTAACTACTAATAAATTTAAATTATTGATATGTTTAGATACATTGTCGAAGCTGTGAAAGCATCTAAAAATTAATGGTCAACGATTGGCCACTATTTTGGCCACACACACACAGTTAAGAACGTTAACGACTAGTGTAAAACGTAGATGTCATGCAAACCAAAGAAATAAAGTTGGCTCGTTTATTCTATTTTTGTAGAGCGAGACTCCATCTAGAGAATATATATTAATGATGTAAGAAAATAATCGGTCCTTGTGTTGGACCGATTATGGTTCACAGAAACTTAATAACAATCGAGTTGGGAGTAACTTTCAACACAGAATAAATTAAATAAGAGTACTAATGCTTTTTAGTGGGAGAGCCATACTTCTTTTGTTGTATTTCACCAAGTTACTGGAGCCCTAGTCCCACTTCCCCTCATTCTTGGGGGAGCTCCAAGAGCGGCACTTGTGACTCTTGAGCTGGGCTCCAAGGGCGGCGGCAGTCCCTTACCACCAGGTGACACGTCTGCTCGTTTGCCCTCTATACCATAAAAATTATAGAATCAATGTGACTAGTACCTACTAGTCACATTGATTCTATAAATAATATTATTATTATTTGTATGACCAATCAAGCCCTCTATAAACAAAGCATCTAAACGAAGCTCTAAACTATTATTTTATTCGTGTACGTAAATTTACTTGCGACAATTCATAACACGGTAGGTAATCATTGTCAGGACATGCGTTTATTTTTACCTTCCGGTAAGTAGCTGATGTTCTTCATTTATGTGACTCCTGATGGCGGTCACACCTGCTTCGTGACGCTTGTTGACACCGGTAGCGATATCAGCAATCCGCACATCGTAACTTTTGAATAAGCAGTCGTCACCGCCTATGGTCATCAAACATTTAAAAATAACATTGTAAATTGAAAGTTACAGAAAATTTTTGACTGATTCCAGAATTTGTCACGATATTATAGAAGTTTCCAAAGGGGTATGGAGGTAGTCAAACTATTGAACCGTCGCAGGACGTCTGGCAAATGTGCATCATCGAAATTATTTTGTAGAAATAATGAGTAAAATGATAGCTTATGAAAGGAAATCATAAATATAGCATATTTAAAAATATAATATTCGACAGCGAACGACGAATGGCGACGCTTTTGACGACATTAGATGTTTAACATCAAAAATACAGAACTTTATATGAGACAAGCACAATGCGGTGGATGGTCGTAAGTGCAGATTAGAAATACTTACACGGAGTAAACAAGTGCGAATAATATCGAAGAGTAAAGGTATAATATATATATAAACGAAGTTTCATATTTTCCTTTTTTTTATAAAATTTCATATCATTAAAAATAATTATTTTACACAAACCTGAATAAAAAACATGTGAATTCCAATAATTGTATGCGCCTATCCATGCTTCGAAGCTGTGACTTTTCCATTTACCAATGACTTGCAAATTATGTTCGCTTATCGCTAAAACATGAATGCAGCCCGCAGAATCGCTGACCAATAACCGTGGCTCCTCTGAACTTGTCTTATTTGTTGACCAGTCTACAGAGAGAGCCAACACATCGGGATCGATTACATGTTCCAGCCAAATGATCAATTCCAAAGCTCCATTATTATCCTGCAGTTTATAAAGCTGTACCGCACCCACTGATGTTACCACAGCCAGCAAAGGGTAACTTTGCACCGGGTGATAACACCACTTTTGATCCAGGACACCGAAGGTCTGTATGGTTTGGATGGGAGACAAAACTGCTGCATCGTTCTTAAAATTAAATAAATATATTTTGCCAAGCCTCGTCTGTTTTTCTGCTTTTACATCTGTAAAAAAACATTTTTACAATATATTACCGTTCTACTATACCGTATATTGGCCGTTGAAAAATGTAGTTCAAATTTTAAGAGGGTGCCAGAAATTTGCTGAAACGTTACAACATCAAACTGTATGGCTGGTATAATGTACGCGAAAGTAGGAATACAACCAAGCAATGTGTTGAATAAAAGTTATGGGAGATTTTCGTATATTTTTTAGATTGTAACGCTATTTAACAACACGCTCGGTCTTATCGACTTGTGTAATCATCATGGAGTGTCCCAACGATGGCCCCATTGTCCCCCTACCATTGGTTAAAAATGAATTTCTCCGATAGGTGGTAAACAGCCTGCTGATGTTTAATTTGGACTATCGCGACCTAATGCCTAGGCTCGGAGGGCAACATTACTGTAAAATTCAGCCTGTGATCCAAACCAAAATAACCGGGTGAACTGAGTTTCCTTACTTAGGACTCTATTATACTGCCATTAGGACTCGTTTAGACAAGGTTAAAACCTTTCTTACGGTAGCCTAAACAAATGGAATGTGAAGTTTTAACTAAGTCATAATAACATTCTGAAAGTACAGAATCGCTCAGCGCCGCATATCGCGCGAATCTTTTCAACGCGCCCTTACGGTGGTATACGGGGACAGATATTAAAATTGAAACCAACAACTTAATACTTCTACACTTTTACATTTTAGTAAATCTTTTGAAATCACCTTCTTCACTTTTCTGAAGTTGATAAGTTCCGCAGACCAGCACATTGCGGTAGGGCTCCACGGGACACCACTCCACCGAGTCCGCACTGTAATCTGTATCCCATCGCAATATAGTTGACCATGCACCCGTCATTGTACGCTGCAACATTTTACAAACATAAATAATAAACGCAACAATAATTTACAGTCTAGGTAGAGAGCTATCTTTCCCCAAGATAGTATCTAGGGAGGACATGTGGCATCTAGTAAACACTACATATGTATTTTGAGTTCAGGGCAACCGTTTATGTCATTATTGTATACTACTACTACTTGTATACGTACTGTTTAACAACAGTTAGAACCAACATTACTCACGGCAGTATTGACAAGTAGGGTCTCCTAAACTCAGATACATTTCACAGCAAATAAGTCCGTTATTTTTTGCATATTCTACTTGTAATTTTTGCAATTACATCGAACTCCAGACACCCGGCTTCTTGGAACAGACACGAGTGTAGACTCCGGTGTTTAGAGTCCTACACATGCATGATTATGGTTAAATTATGATGGGCAAATGAACGAAATGCTGAGTGCCTAATCAAAAATAAAACTAATCCTATTTATACGTCAAGCTGGCGTAAACTCGGTGACGAGTGTGAAAAGATTACAACACTTATGATGGAAAAAGAAAAAAATGTCCAATGTAAGTAATAAATAAAAGCATAATTACTATTTTAAACCCATTTATTGTAATAAAAATATGCCCATACATGAAATAACTAACGCTATCGACATCGTCCAATACACAAATTTACACGTAAGTATCAATAATTCGCCAAAATTTGTACTGTGTTGTGGTTCGCCACTTACAATTTAAGTTGGGACAAGAAGGAAGAATACAATACAGGACTGTCCCAAACCTCCTCTCTTCTCTCCTCTACTTGGTGGGTGAATATCGAACGACATGAGCGTCGTAAACTGTAGTAGTCATAAAAACCCAATAACTTTTAAATTTGAATAAAAGAAATATAATAAGATATAGTAAGAATAGTTTCGTTCCAATTCCGCTCTGAAAAAATAAAATTGATTCCAGACACGCTGTGACCACGGCCAGTTGAATCTGGTCGAAACGTCAGACAATTCAAAGGTATGTAATACCTATTACATGATCGCGTTAATGCCCGTTTATATATACATAATTATATATCATGGATCGAAGGTGAAAAATTAGTAATACTCAATTGAATATGAAAATATTATAAGTTTAGTTTGGTCGTAAAATGTATGTTTCTCTAACTTCTGAAAATACGAAATTAAAAAATAACGACAACACCAGTTCAATTCACGCCACCAATTACATATATTAATATTAAATATAATAATTAAATATATTAATTGTCTCTTACAACTGACAACTCCAGTCCCTGTTTAAAAAGTCGAAAATACACTTTACATGAAAGCGTTTCAAGTTTAATTTTAATAACCTTCACTTTTAAACTTTTTAAAAGTAATGTCAGCTTTCATACCATACAATAATAAATAGTGTATTTATCATTCAATTAAAAATGTGGGAATCACCAGATATATAAAACCGACAAAATTTGTAGGGACTGATATTTAGGTATTTTTTTTATCTTACACAATTATCCAGTTTACTTCATCACTGTTGAATCGTATAAACCAAATCCTAACATTTGATTTTAAATCTTAAAATTCTTGTACACCTCTTCTGTATTTGGTAAAATTAACCAAGTGTTTCATCAATATCTAATAAATAAAATTGTTTCACATTGTAAATAGTACATCTTTTTCATAGTTATGTTGTATTTAAGACATGCACACAAACAGGTATACATAGATATGTATATATTTTCACATAAATTAACTACAATATTTCATTTGTTAAAAATATGCTTAATCGATGCTATTGTCTAAAATATATCTCTAAATTGAGAATTTTGAGTTACATCAGCTGTTTGCTTAATTTATAGAGAGTATACAGTAAATTACAATCGTATACAATATTTTATATATTGTCGTTGTTGTTAGAATATTTTGTTGATTAAAGAATTATTGTATAAAGGCTATATACACAATTAGACGCAGAGTATGTCCTGCGACTAGGCTAGGCTAAGAGCCATGCGGAATGGATCGATTTAAAACAGAAAAATTGATTTACATAGCTGTCCTGTGCCGTGGTAACACTCCTACTGCACTGGTTCTACCACGATACGATATCAAGAGTAATGCTTAAACCATATTTATTGTATCTTTGCATGTTGGAAGCTTAACGTCCCAAGTGTGTAAATAGACTTTTATACAAAAAATTATTACGACTTCTTAAAATATCTATCTGTTTTTTAACATCAGCACGATTTGGAGACAATTCTGTATCGTGACAAAATTTAAATTCAAATTCTATAAGAATAAACACGTAACGTCAAAGCACAGTCATAATTTAAACATGGTATGTATTGCGATGTACGTATATATCGCTTTGATAAATGTTTTGCATGACTGTACTTTTAATAATAGAATTACGCGTGAGCAATTTAAAAGTTTGTAACATTGAAAGATATCACTAGAAGATAATTACGAAATCCAAATACAGATAAATATTAAAAAATGAATGAATTAAAATGGACACAAAGGGTTACATTTACAATAACATTTATTTACGTAAGTACTTTATTTATTAATGGTAACTTATTTTATAAGGGTTAAAACCTACTTCGTAAATTCTTCTTAAATTCTAATTATTCTAAAAGTATACTTTGACGGCAGTTGGACCGAAATTACTTTTGTTTTGAACTTGGGGTACAGGCGAGCACAAAACAGTTTGAAATTTAAATGATTATAGTCGGTGGTACTTTTTTAAGTATATTATTAAATATATTCTTTAAGACTATTACGGGATAAAAATAGATTTTGTGGCGTGGTTCGCTAATAAATTATATGGATATAATGTACGAGATATATTTTGAAATTTAACTATGACTCGCCTGTGTTGAAATATAAATATATATATTGAACTATTGTCATCGAATGGTAACTAAAACTAAACTATATACAACTTAAACTATAAAACCGTAATGATCGTAAATCAATGAGCACATTTCTTACAAACTATGACGTAATCTAACATGAGGTCATTAACAGCCACGGCAGACACGTGTAGCTGGTATGCTGTCAAATGTCAGTCAACATGGTGATCAGTACAGCGGCGGTTCCGAAACAGGAGTAACATTCATTTAAAATAAATTTTATTCTATCTAGTCCCAAATCAGAGGCCCTGCGTATTATTTAGTTTACAAGAGGGATACTCCTCTTACTCCTACGATCCGCATATGGTTTGACGCCTTGAGAGTTCGTAATCATTTTTAAAACTTCAAATTTTAGCTTCTAGATTCCCTAGAATGACAACATTGAATTAGAAGGTCCAAGGACATACATTTGTCGATAAACAGTCAGACAATATAGTCAAAAATCGTACCCAACATACCAGCTTAGGTCTGACCGTGTAAGCTTTATTTAAGGTTATAAACGATATGACTATAAAAGATTAAGCCACAAAATAATATCAACATAAATATCGCCAGAGAATTAAGGGATTTAAAATCTATTTTAAAAATAGTTTTTATTCGAATAAATTTGTTGAGCTTCGCTTTAACGTTGGGAATTGTGGCGCTACAGGAGTCCAGTTTGTCTATAAATATGAAGACTAATCATAATAATTATAAATTACTATTAAATTAGTTGTATAAATATTGGGTCCATTAAATAAGTATTTAGAAACATAAGGTTTAGCCGAGTCATAAGCATATGGCTACAGTTGGCTAAGACAGACATAAATTGTAGTATTCAACCTTAAAATACATCCACATTAATTAGATTTAACTGATGGTAAATATTACCACTCATTACACTGATTCCAGTAACGAATCGTTACTATCCCAGTAAGTGATCATTACTATCCCAATAAAGAAATGGGGAAAAACCCAAATTTGAGTTTAATATGCTTTTTTACCCTTCTGGGCAGTGTGGTATAGTAAGCCAATACCTTCGCCGGTCTGAGCCAAAAGTAAGCCAAAACCTACTTTCTAAGGAGAGGTTAAAGGATCTTGATAATGAAAAATATCTTCCTATTTAGAAGCAAGTATTTCACATTAGCCAAGATAACGAAAGTGTTGATTCATAAATCATAACACTAATTCGTAACACTAGTACTGGTGACTAGTAACGAAGTACAACTATGTGTTACAATAAACACGCAACGCAAATAATAACTGATAAATACTACATTAACATACACATAATGCTAATCACTTTAAAGTATTATTGCTTGAAAGTCAACTACTAGTAGCGCCACCTTCCAGGTTTAAAAGAACCCATAACGTTCCAAAAGCGATGCGACAGATTAAATATAGACAAAGACATTAACATTAAAAATATTAACATTTTGTTTGTGTATGAGGTAGTTGTTCACAATAAATGTTGCAATCACAGCCTGTTACTTTCAGGACAATCTGTTCATATACCTTTTGACTCCCTTGTGTTAGACTTGATGGTTACGCAAAGTTGTTAAAGACATTTAAAATAGGGTAGATGACTGTCAAGTCAAATCAGTAACTTTTTTTTAAACGTCAAAACGCTAGACGCGGTACATTTTTGTATGAAATACTATTTCGTGACGTCATACCTAGCTATTGTCAAATCGTTTATATTTAATGTTGATATCAAGATATCAAATCAATAAAGACATTAAATTGATAATGGAGGACAATTCAGGTTCTACTTTGAGATGTTACATTTAACGATGCAGGCGAAATAATTTATTTTAAACCCAGGAATCTACCCTATTAAAACCTCTGTTTTGTTAAGCACAGAGATTCAGTGTAAAATAAAATTTCAAACAATAGAACAGTGCTTTAGACATCAACTCATAGATTTTCGTGGTTTATACTTTACTGTAAATATGTAAAATAAAAAAATCAATGTCAAATCCTTTCCGTAACCATAAAATCATCAATATTGTATACTCAACTGCCAAACTTACATTACCACTTATCACTATGAAATCAAATGTTTCAATAAATAAACGGAGTAAGAAACCAATATCTTTGGAATTGGAGGTGGTCTTAGATATTTAACTAATGTTTACCAATGAATTCACTTTCATACCGTTTGAAAGACATCACAATTCTATAGACAAATAATTCAAAAAAATAATTCTGGGGCTCTGGTACACTAAACCTATGATCTCAAATATGATCATCACAGGACTGGTCTTAAATGTTCTGAATCTGTCAATGAAATTACGGGAAAAATATGTTAAAACTTAAAAACTGTTGATGAAAAAACTTGATTTAAACCATTTTTTATTTTATTTTAGTGGTGGGTGAGTGGTTTAAACCTAGATTTTTCAATTTTATTAGATGTACATTTTGTTACAAAACTGAACTAATTAAAACAGTTGAATGGTATGATATTATTAGGCACACCTAAGACCACCTAATATTAGTTGTTCTTTATCAAACTGCATACATTTTAAAGAATCATAACTAAATTCTCTTATATTTATTTCTAAGTACCCTGAATTATGTTTAATTCTAATAAATAGATGTTATGAACTGCCGAATTTAACACTCTTTTACTCTGTCACTAATATTTTTGGTGTTTAATCTATCTAAGCATTTTTGACAGTAGCTCCATTCGTCATGTATGATAATATACCTACCATTATGCAATCAAAATCTTTTGTCTGTTGTCGTTTTGTTGTTATCAATGCCTAGTATGAACAATATTTAAACAGATAACATCAAAACATTAAACTAATATGCAAATGCCTTACATTCAAATGTTATCATACTGTAACGGCACTGTATTGAAGCTACTTTTGCCAAAAAAAAAGTATTTTAATACCATTCACTCTTAACAACTTCAAAGAGTACTAAATCCAGCAGCTTTTTCTGCCCTTACAAGAGAACATTATGACAAAATGTCTACATTTATTAAATCATAAAAATACAATCACATACACCTCTACTTATAATCATTTTCAATATAAATGAATTACAAACTGTGTGAGCCATGTCAAATAAAATATAATTAAGGGCCAAAAAGGATTAACATACTTAACAGCCAGTGACAATAAACTACTTTAATTTTTTTTTTCATGGGGCATCAACAATACAAATTGAGTTTTAATTTCACACATGATCAAAGTAATAGTTAAGTAAACAGATCTATACTACTTTTGAGTTAATCAAACGATTCATTAATTAATTGTAATAGTACCTTTCAAACATGGTGCATAAAAACATAGCTTATAAAGCAAATTGTAATGAGGGTGTTTAAAAGTTTTGACTCACAGCACAATGTATTACAGCTGTAATGTTCTATATTTAAGTCATCTATGTATAAATTGCGTATTGTTTCTTTGATTTCATACAACTTCACTGTGACCCTCAGTTGATATTTATTGTTGTATTGTTTCATGATAATAGATATTTCCATTAAATTATTTAAAGAATAGTCACATAAATATACATAATAAATCACTGCTTATGCATTCTATATTCTTTAACAGAATTACCAACATTTCATCTTGAAACTGACAACAACATACAGCTCTACATTATTTCTTCACAATACTTCAAGTTTTAAGCTTGACTGTGTGCACAAGGTACACAAAAAATTGACTGTAAAATTTCTCTTGATAACGAATTACTGCCTAGCAGACCTTTCTGTTTCAATAAGGCATTCTCTCACAAGAATGCGAGCATGAATAATCCCCCGTTTGAGGCGTTCAGCAGAACTACGACTACCTGAGTAGCTGGGCCTCACTTCCTTACCCATTTCCTCAATGACTGCTAGCAACTGAGCATACTTTGACATTCCATTATCTTTATCCTTCCCGATAGACGAAGGTGATGTTGCAGGTACCGTTGATATAGTGGCCTGACTGTTACTCCCATGATTGAGCTCTTTGTGTGGATTCTTCCCACTCATAGGTATCGCCGTCACAGTGACATCACTCAGTTTAGATTCTACCGCCTGGATATCCATCGCTTCCATCGTTTACTGAAACGATTTAAGAAATTTTTAGATAACAAAGGAAACGGAACACGTAAATCAACAAAACGAAACTTACCTATCACAAAACTAGGGTCTACACTTTTCATAGGCAAAGGGGCATACCGAAAGAACGATGCAACTGTTTAGTGATAAATTCTACAATAAATAAAGGACATACCTAATCCGATCACCTTCGGCTCTCGAAGAAAATCAACGTTACAATCGTTTATTCGTCACACTAATAGCGGTTGCGATGAAATATGTTGGAATGTATTAGGTTTTTAGTAAATGCAAATGACTTTAGTAAATAAAACCCGTACTTTATGAATATATTGTAAATAACAAACAAGTCTACAAATTACCACATTGACAATACAATAATGATTTTTTTTGCCCCAATTGCTTGACTATGACATCTGAGCATTCTGCCTTTTCACACAAAATTGACATTGAAATCTTCATTTTATCTGATTTGAAATCGTTATTTTATAATTTTAAAGTATTTTTTTAGGCAAAACAGTCGCGTCCTAACTTAGGATTTTTTAATTGTTTTTACAAAATGATTAACTGCATCGTTACGGTCCGTTCTACGTAACAAATACATTGTGTCTTATTTTCTTTTCAATTTGATATCTGTCACTTCACTTCGTAAATCGTATCAGAATTACGGAATTGTCAATTTGTCTTGTCGTCTATTAGGCTCGGATTGGTTTTCTTGTCCTGGCTTTACTTTTGTCTATAAAAACCTATTTTTAAATGACCAAAACATATTTAAGCCGGCATTAAGTTCCATGCCTAGAATTAATTTTATAAGTGAATGGTGGTGGTCTCTAGCCATGTGTCGTTTTAAATTGATCAAATAAATGTAAATAATAAAACAATAAGAGGTCAGTGTTAAGTGATTTCTCCGCCCACTGCAGCGCGGGGGATCATTATGCGATTAGAGAGACGCAAGTTGTGCACCTACCCAATGGATATCTGAGAATGGCGGGCGAAGGCGAGCGCGCTTCGCGTCCGAATTCGCTGCTGTTGGAGGCACCGCCGCCGGAGCGCGAGCCGCTGCACTTCGATGTGCAGCTTGTCGGCGCGCCGCCGGAGGTCGAGCAACTCGTCAATAACATCAAACAGGTCGCTGAAGACTTCCTCTATCACTGGAAAACTTTTCCCATAGGTAAGAATTTCTCTTGATTGTTCATATCTCATTGTATTGTTATGCTATGTGCATGTATTCATGTTGTAATAAATATGCATACAAATTGTCTCACACCTTAACTATTCTATGTGTGAAGTCAATAAATGTCATTGTTCAAAGTCATAAGCATATTTCAATTAAAGGTACATTTGTCTTAGTTAATAGTTAATTACAAAACTTGGAATTCCTCTTTTAAATTATGAGAATTTGTCATTCTTTTTTTGTGAGGTAACAGAATTTTATGCATACTATAAAAATATACAAATGTGTACATAAATACTTACAATAAATAAATAATAATAAATACAACATATATTTATATACAACATATTGAAAGTACATTAATAAAAAACTAATAATTAAATTATATATTTTTATTAAAAATTAAGTAACTTGTTTTAAATAACATTGACATTTAATAGCAGTAATTATGAAATAGTAATTTGAGTTATATTTCTGAGATGTGTTTTTTACTACATAATTACTACATTGTATAAAAACATGGGCAATTTGGGTGCATTAAAATAGACTATTCTGGTCTATGGCATTATGTTACTTGTTATATTTGAAATCGAAACTCCAAGAAACATGTTTGCTGCCTTAGTAGTATAAAAACTATAATAATAATTATTTATTAGTACAATATTTAATTACAAATAGTTTTATTTTATTTTATTTAGAAAAGCCATCTAAACATTTATAGAATAATTTTCACCAAGGTACCCAAAAGTAACATTTAACTTGTGGTATGGGTGCCAGGGCTAAGGGCTATAAGTAATGAGTACAATAAATCCACAGTTCTCCCTCCATCCCGTTTCACGGGCCCAGGCAACCGTCCTTCAGATATCATCGTAGCCCCACCATGTGATGAACTAGATGCTGCAGCTCTTGATGCTGGAGTAGAGCCTCATCCACTTTCACCCAAGCAACTGCATGCCATCAGGGAAAAAGGGTGAGTATTTAATAAGCAAAAGTTAATGTGTTAGTTTTTTTAGCTTAGGACTGTTAACATTAATTATTTAAGTGTATTTAATTATTGATTTTAAGTCACCAGCCAAGCTGTAGCTTTCGGAAAGTACAATTGGATAGTTTATTATATTTCGCAATGCATTTCAAATGCTTGTTATAATGATAGATTAAAAAAAACACAGACTACTATACTGTAAGTGTAATAATGATATTAAACCTTAAATTACTTAACATATAACTATCTAATTACAAACTAAGCAGAGCCTGCACTATGGTAACCAGACTGATTATAAAAATACTTAAATGCCACTAAAATATACATATTGTTGGTTCAGCAGTCAAATTCACTAACCACTAAACTTATTAAAAAAAAAACTATAAAATGTCACTTAGTCCATTGTGAAATTAAATTAGAGAACAAGAACTCACAACTTAAAATAAGTTATAATTAGCTAAGAACTAGGACAAAAAGTTTGATGTAAAATCCTAGTTTTAAATTGCCATTGCAATTATTCTAATAAAAACGAAAACATAATAAAAATGCAAATATTTAGAAATGAATGAACAAAGTTTACATTACACTCTATACAAATATTGTATTATGTATGTATTGTAATATATAAATAATTATAACAATGTTGCATTAAAGGAAAGTGCCGGTGATTAAATGTAAACAACGACTTAGTACTGCATACTTTACTAAGGAGATAGGAATTCATTACCTTTTACATTTAAAATAGAAACATATTATCATTATCCAACACATACTTTTTATAAAATAAAGCTTTATCATATGTTTTAACAGCTTAATAAAAACTTATTTAATTATTATAGAGCACACTTAATCATTTTTAGGGCCTTGCAGATTACCTAACTAAACCTATTAATTTAAATTGTGGATTTGAACGAAGCACACAATATACACGGAAATAGTTACAAAAAGACTCAGACAAAATACTCATATCTCTGACCTGACTCGCGCAACTTTTTGTACGTTTCAAAAGGAATAAATTACCCTTGATGATACTCCGCTCCTATTGGTGATAGTCCTCGATAAATGGGCTATCCGACACTAAAAGCATTTTTCAATTCGAACCAGTAGGTCCTGAGATTAGCTTGTTCAACCAAGCAGAAAAACTCTTTAGGTTTATAACATTAATAAAGATTTAAAGTGTCCCCATTAAGTATATAGTATAAATATATGTTACGCTTAGCATAAAGCACCTGTGCGATATATCGGCATCTCCTCTTAATAAACTTGAGTTCTGAACCTAGATATACAATTAACAGCATTAGCCGTGGGAGAGCTCACAGAAAACCCACAGCAATTTTTTTCGTTGCTATTCAGTGATTTAATGAAGTAACCGGACCCCAGCTCCATTCTTCCCCGTAATTCTGGGGTGTGGAGGGCGGCAACTCACTTGTGACTATTTGAGTTACAGAAAACCTACAAGGCCCATGTATGTCGAAAACATGAAAGAACATACTCGCCGGTGTACTAACTCAATTCACTTTTGATTCGAATCAATTCCGTTAATATTCTCGAGCGCTTGGAAAATGACACAACAGTTTAAAATACGCACACTGTTCTAAACTCATTCTGTATGATAAAATGTTAACAATCTAATGAGTCTAAACATAGACGCGACATATGGTGTCCTTTTATAGCCAACATATGACTTAACACAGGATTACTAAGTTTGTATGGCTTGCATGTGAAGAAGTTAGGGCAACATGATATATATCTCCTTTAAATTCTTTGCTTAGTTGTCCCCAAAGTTCTTTGACCTTTGACTATTAAAAAGAATATTCAAGTTTTTTAAAAATAAATAGTCCTATTTTTAATGCTTTTAAATTGTATGAAAGTACTAGCTTTTGCCAGCGACTTCGTCCGCGTGGTGGTCGACATCAGACATCGTTGAGACTACCAAAGATAATGAAGTTTCAAATAAATTTCCAACCCCCATTTTGCACCCTTAGGAGAGAAATTTTAAAAAAACCCTTTCTTAGTGAACACCTATGTCACTGAAGAAAAACTTCATGCTTATAGACCCAGAGGTTGCAGCTGTGCTTTGACCGATCAGTCAGTGAATTAGTCTGTTAGATTCTTTTTTTATAGAAATAGGTTTGTTATATGTATAAGTTTCTATAAATTGCATGAGGATGCAATATGAAATGCAATATATATCCAACTAAAAAATTCGTTTGTGAACAGAACCTAACCTACGATTGTCATCGTTGATATTTTTATCCCAAGTCCATTGATCCACCACTATTTCTTTTGTTGCTCGCGTGAGACCCTATGTACGTCGTCATTGACCCTCAGGGGTCAGTATAGACATATTTGGGCATCAATGATCCAGCTGCTTGAATAATAAAAACTATAGTATTGTAATCCTCCTGTATGTATAATATGATATAGATTACACCCAGAGGTTCATGGTGAAGGACACAGTTCATTATTGTATTTTAAAGGCACATGCATCTGCCGCTTAATAGTTTATTATCGACGAGATCGCCTTCTTGGGTGACCTCAATACTATAAAAAAAACAGTGGCATTCCGGGAGTGCTGACAGAAGCGATTTTTTTTTTTTTTTTTTTAATTATAAATGGAAAAACAATTGTCTTTTTCGATTCGAAAAGTTCCGACTTGAATACAAATCTATGTTGTACGTATATACACAATATATCTACGAGTAATACCTTTAAACGAGCAATTCTTGTATATATATAATCTGAATATCGGAAGCGGCTTCAACGATTTTCATGAAATTTAGTATGTAGGGGGTGAAATTTAGTATGTAAAAATACCGAGCAAAGCTAGCGGTCATCCAGGCACTGTTCAAATTATACAGGGTGTAAGGGACGTCGTAACGAAAACTGAAATAGTGTATACAGACCAAGACGTTTTCACTTGAAATATAAGTAAAAGCGAAGTATTGTAAAGCTGCGGCAATGAGTCAGAAGGACGCCTCACGTCAACGTCACGACGGCTCCTTATAACTTAACGTTTCGCTTTTATAATTTGCTTTTTTATTTGATGTCATTGCGGCTTTTCATCTATGTTATGACTCTAGACTACTCTAGAGCAAGTTTAATACGTACCATTACATTCTTATAACATACTAGCTTTTGTCCGCGGCTTCGCCCGCGTGTATGTTGGTGATCGCGGTAAAAAGTAGCCTATTATTTTAGCCTTTATCAAGAACTAGTCTATCTCCATACCAAATTTCATCTGAATCGGTGAAGCGGTTATTGATTCCCCACACAAACTTCACCCCCTTAAAGGATGATTTTTGGGATATAAACTATCCTATGTCCTTTCCCGGGACTCAAACTGTCTCTATAGCAAATTTCATCTAAATCGATTCAGCGGTTTAACCATGAAGAGGTAACAGATTGTCACTTTTGCGTTCGTAATATTAGTATGGATAATATTATCGTTGGTATATAGCCCGGCCCAACGACGCGGCCAATGTAAATGCGACGTTTCCCTGACAGAGATGTAAAGTCAGACTGAATCAATCTTGACAGTAATACTATACTTCCTCTGTGTGTACTCTTCGAGGGAAAGTTACAATATCAACGTTTATTATTCGGTAATTGAGACTGAGAAACGCACACACTTTTGCGTTTTTAAGGCAAGCTATTTTTATTGTAAAATGTTTTAGTTAAAATTGTTTTTTTTGTTTTTGTTTTTTTTTAAAGACAACTCCCGCATTAGGAATATATTCTGTGTCGCGGGGGACTTTACAGAGATCCGGATCACACAAAGTGTCGTCCCATGTGGGGATCGAACCCACAACACTCAGCGTAGGAAGCGGCATGGCGACCGCTTAAACCACTACGCCATCCGTGCAGTCGGCAATTCTGGCAATGGCAGTGCCAGTAAATTGTTAATTAACTAAATTAGTACATTGTTATAAAATTGTATACGTACGGGGATTGACGCAATCACGTATTACATGCCTTGGAATTGCCTGATATTTCGACCAAGTTGCACTGGCCATTTGCCTTTATAGCATTTAAAAAAATATCGTCAGTTAAATCGTTTATTTGAACCAGTTGTCGCCGAGATTTCCAATCCACCGCAAAACTAAGCGTAGTTCAGTTTTTGTAAAAAAATAATAAAGCTGTCTTTCTCTAATTTTTTTCAATGTAATAACTGTAATTACCAAAAACTGAACCTCAAAGTTGACAACCCTAGCAAAAAATGACTCAGTCAATTAGTATGCGTCCCTTCCACGTCCAAGCGACGACGAAGGGACAAGTTCGCCTTTCGTTCATCAAGTCTAATTAATGTTTTCACTCAAACGCATGAACTAAACTAACCCACTGTGAACTGACAAATGCTCAGCGTCTACGCTTTTGTCCCACGGCGTTCGTTCGTTTTATAAACTCTTTTGTTTTACACTGCTGGCGCCAAATGTTGCTCATATGTGTTGAAAAAACAAATGCTTGTACCATAATGTGTGCATTATGGTTTATGATGGGTTTTTTTTACATGAAGCGCCTTTCTATTAATATTATTTCCCGTTAATGTCAATTTGGTTATCTCTGGGAACCTCGCTCACTCAGTGAAATGCAACGAAAAAATTGCTAACACAGGGTATCTGTAAGGCACTCCGGTCGAGCTGGTCCATATGTGCCAGAGCACGGCTCCAACGGTTAAATAGTGTGGAAGTGGAGACCACGTGAGGAACACACCTGACTGATCATATCCATGTGATTGTACCCATCTCAATGGACTGCACGCCACGTATGGCATTACGCGATATAAATTACTCACGCGCTTGCGCATGAACGGAGCTAACATTGTAAAGATATGACTGCACGGATGGCGTAGTGGTTTAAGCGGTCACCTCGCCGGTTCTTACTGCGCTGAGTGTTGTGGGTCCGAACCCCACATGGGACAACACTTAGTGTGATCCACAAATTGCTGTTCTGAGTCTGGGTGTCCTTTGTGTCCGTTTCATGTATATTTGTAAAGACCCCCGCGACACAGGATTGATTCCTAGTGCGGGCGTTATCTTTTTATTCAAAGAAAAAATATAACGAGAATTTGTCACTGCAATAAGTTTTTTCTGACTAGCTGTGCCGCACCTACGTTCATGGTCACTGCTCCACTCCTAAGGATCGTAGCGTGATGTTTTATAGCCTACATTATTCCTCAAGAAATACTCTCTCTAATATATAAATAAGGTTACCTATAGTTTTAAAGAATATCGCGTTTAAACAGACAAGCAAAAAACTCTTCTGTATTACTATATTATTATAGATGAGGTTCGGTTAGATTGGAATCAAATGTTGTAATAGGTCATGGTTTTGTTTTTGATCTATACAGGAAATAGCCATTGTAAACAAAAAACACGACAAAGGTGGAACAGTCTAAATAACTTCTCGTCAAATCTCATACGATCTCACTTAACAAGTATCTGTGTGACAGACAGATTCTAGGGGTTAACAAAAGAGCCAGTAATTTATTTGCCCGAGTCGAAAATTCGTTCAACGATTAGAAAGAGCTTCTCAGCTTCTTAGCAAGATCTTTGTACAACTAAACAGAACTGCCTAAAAAAATATTTTAACTTCCACACACAATATGAATATATTGTTGTTGATCTGATTACTTTTGAATTAGGTACTCAAACTTACTGACCGTGCATTTTATAAATCGAACATCAATTTTAAAAGTAGATTGCAGCATAGGCTATGAGGATCATAGTGTATCATAGAAGACACACATTGCTCATTCGCCTCCATACGTAACTTGTAATTTTTTTATTATTTTTTTAAAAAGCTTGCACAAGGACAGGGCTTTTAAGCCGAAGAAATTAGGCGCTAAGCAATTGGAATCAATACGTGAATGGGGGTATGTTCGCTCTTATGTATATGTAATATGTATGTTATATTTATGTGTCTGTAGTACTTTTATTTTGACGTTGACTCCATTGTTGATATTTGAAACCGCTAAGTACTTCTAATTTACTTACTAACACAGTAATGTCGACGATAAATTTAAATAGGCTAAGGTTCTTGCAGTTTCTATATTCGAAACATAACTGACATTGTTACTTTTAATGAGTGCATTCCTTTTTTGAAACAACCTCGCAAGTATAATAATTTGTGTGAACTGGAATGTATTTTTTTTTATTTCGTCCAGTGTATTCAAATATTCCTTTACTTCTAAGGATGTATACAGATTTTATGAGATAGAAACATCATAACCGTGGAGCCAACGTCCTTTGCCCCCATATCTCATAGAACGCATGCTCATTAGAAATGCATTAAGTATATATCCTATCAGCTCAGAGTAATTATTTAGTGTATGCCACGCATTCCATCCCAATGTAGACCAATCATTATTATCTATGTACGAACAATTTAAGTGTATTTTAATATATTACTGTTTAATAATTCAGAATACATAGGTAGGCATTGTTTTTATCAACAGCACAACATTATAAACTTAAAATTACTGTAATGAACCTGTTTATATATTTTTTTAACGGAAATTCAGCATAAATACAATATGCGAAATTAACTCAGATGCGTGCGTATAAACAGTTCAAGCTCGCTAGAGACGTTAATTCCAACCTTACGACAGTATGGCCGGCTTATCATTAGACGTAGCCAAATTATTGTCGATGGAGTAGTAAAAGTAATACTAAATGTTATATCTATTTACATTTATGCACTTATCTCTATTCAATAACCTTCTTTATTCTTATTAGAAATGGTTAGAAATAATTTCATGAAGGAAAGTAATATTGTCGCATGCTACAGTAATATGTTGACAACATTCGCAATAATATCTAAAACTTTATTATGTATCACTACAGTATTACAAGTGCCATTATTTATTTCAATAACAGAAATACGCCATTAGAAATAATTGCGGCGGGAACTGCTATAATCAGTATGTCGAACGAAACGTTTCGAGTCTGAGGCACCTTGCATTGTTCGCCTAACTCGACGCTAGTGACGGGACTATACAATAACAATTCTATTAAAAAAAAATCGATTTAGTGACGTCATTCAATGTAAAAGATCCCTTTTTCATTCACGCAGTAAAATGCTAAAGAATTTAAAAGTAAACGAAGGGTTGAAAAGCTTAGCAGAGCGTCGAGAGCTTTAGCTTTTAATCCGTTTCAACAATATTTTATGTGTAACTAAGGCAACAGCGAAGTTAACAATATTTTGATGTAATCTTTTCTAAAGCTTCCTTTGTTTTTATACATTTTCTTCTGCACTGACAATAACTTATTTTTTTTAGAAACGTAAGTTACATGGGTATAAATCGCTTGATATTATTGTAATTCTCCAAATCTTTAACAACAGAATTGGTATCAGCAATAGCTATTTGCACCTCTAACGATTAGAAACTATATTTTTGAATATAAAATTATGTATAATACACAGAATTAAGTATAATTAAGTAATTAATATATCAGTAATAAATCGCAAAAGTGACTGACAAAGTCAGTTTCTAGTTCAGTCAATCTGATGTTATTTACTGAATACCTAATGTTAAAATACAATATATTATTATTCATCGTACAAATATTAGGGGTTTAAAGTATGAAATTGCCGAATTGTACTGAAAATTTTTTGTTTCTAAGATCTAACATATTTATTTAATCAAAATATTAAGCGTCATTGCTGTGAAATCTAAACGGAAGTTCATGTCTTTACGATAGAACTCTGGGGATCTATATCAGACAAACTGTGTGAAAGCATTTTGTACGGCCTGCTGGGAAGATTTTTTTTATCACGTAGAATATTGTCCAAATCATGAAAAAAATGGTAGTCCGTTGGAGCAAGGTCTGGCGAGTACGGAGGATGACGTATGGTTTCTAACTGCAGCTCCTGTAGAGTTACAACGGTTTCTCTTGCAGTGTAAGGTCTTGCGTTATCATGGAGCAATAATAGTGAAGATCGATCCACGAGTCGGGGCACTTTCACTTCCAGTTTCGCCAACATTGTTCGAAGTTCAACACAGTAGATATCTGCTGTTATTGCCTGACCAGACCTGAGAAAGCTATAGTGAATAACACCATGAAGAGACCACCAAACAGTTACCATATAATTGGAATGTTTTCCTGTAGAGCACTGTTGCGGTGGTCGACCTCTGGTCTGGTTATCGTAAACAATATACATACTTTTCGTCACATGTCACAATTCGATCCAATATTCAACAATTCAACACGCATTTCTTTCTGCAGATCAGTCAAATCATGAAGCACCCATTTTTCAGTTTTTTTTATCTTATTGATATGATGTAAATGAGTCAATATTGTAGGTAGGGTAACATTAAACCATGCCGCTAATTCCTAGGTAGTTTGACTCGGATCGGCTTCCACTGTCTCCTTTAATTCAGCGGTATTCACCTGTGTGGGCTGTCTTCCACGTGGTTCATCCTTCAAGTCAAAATTTCCATTACGAAGGCGTTTAAACCAAAATCACACGATGCGTTCATTAGCAGTCTCCTCTCTAAACGCAGCGTTGATATTGCGAGCCATTTCTCATGCGTTATTTCCGCGTCGGAACTCGTATTAAAAAATGATTCGGATTTTCGAAATATCCATCTTTCACGTCTAAGCTGGATAAAAAAACGATTGAAAGTCGAAAATCGAATGTTGCACATTTTTTAAAAGAAAACCTCATAAGTATCATGTGAAAAAAGTTTCACACGAAAAGCTTACACCAAGAAGGTTTTATGTCAATTTAAAGTATCTATTACTATACAACGGCAATTTCATACTTTAACCCCTATTATTATCTATAGTTGCAGTTTTCAGAAAGCAGGTTGAGACATTCCGTTGTTTTCTAAAGTAATTACCTCGTGTTCTTCCTATTTATTTTGTGTATGTATACGGAAAGTGTTCTAAACATTTGTCAAATATAACAAGGACACAGTATCGTAATTATGTTATTACGAGTACAACATGGATGCATACCTATATTTCTTAATCTTGATAAGAACCTATGCCAAATAATGTCCTAGGATTCCTTATAACTTATTTACAGCTTTAAATTGGCTTTTTGTGCGCAGTGAATTCGAAGTTCCCTCGCGCCATTTCCCTGGACAAACCCACGTTTGGCGCGTAGCACCATGGCTGCAGCGAGGTCGAGTGAGAGCTCGAGAAGAACTTTACTGTCACGTGGCCAGAGCCCTCGCGCTCATTGTGGTGGTGGCCAGAGACCGATTGATGCGGGATGAACCGCTGTCTGTAATCGCAGGAGCGAAATCTTTGCTGCAGGGGTTGCATAGGTAAGTACAAATTTAATTGAAAACTTTTTAACCCAGAACACAGTCTTTTTATTTAAACGAAAAAGATAGAAGTCAGGGCCCCCTTTCTGCCTTTTTTACTGTTAATAAGTATTATAAGGTCTGTTTAGTTTGAAGCTAGATGGCGTTATGTGTCAGATGATAGTTATTATTATTATCTCAGTGACTACAGTGTTCTAAAATTGAGTTTTAAAGACAAATATTTATTAAAGATGTACAGTTAATCCAGTTCTCGATGTAACTGGAGCTGGCTTTGACACATTCTTTTAAGCTATAAGTAGCAAATGAGCAATTGTTTAGACAGTAAGATCTAATAAAAAGTTATTCACGGGCTATCGTTAACACGTATTATTATGTAATGTATCTATTACCTACTTGCTTTAGTTTTAGTTGAAAACTCTAATTTAATTATAATTAAAAAAATATATATAAAATTGTCTACCTACGTTTAATGAAATATTGGTGTTCTTACGTGGACAGATTAAAAGAGTTAAACCCGCTAATAATAAACATGGAGCTGTTAAACCGGTCATAAACCATAAAGTTATTAATATTTTTTTTTTATAATTATTTAGATTACTGGACCTGGCGTTTGGTATGCCATCTTTAGAAGCTCGCGATCTCGAGAAAAAGATACGAGAAGAGAGGTCACGATACTTGGTAGCAGAACTGATATGCAAGGTGAGTGGAATTCTGCTTCACGTTTTAGTAATCTTTTAAAATTAAAAGTTTTGTGTGTGTAACACAAAACTTTATTTTGTAAAAAAAAAGCATACGTTAAAAAAAAGAAAACATTTTAAATCAAGTAGTTATTACATTTTTGAGGCTTAAAACTATTAATATTATGTACATACAATACAAGGCGATTATATACTATTTTGAGATTAAAGGTACCCTAAAACCTCTGTACGCCTAGTTAAAGTTTTGTGCAGGATATGACTGCCTCGGTGGTGTAGTGGTATCGTATGCGACTGCTGTGCTGAGGTCTCGGATTCGATTACCGAGATCTAGCTATCATAGTACAAACTCTGCTTAGTTTGAAACTAGTTGGCGTTGTGTCAGATGTCCGAAAAAATTCAAAATGATCAGCGGAACGATGACGGTACAGCAGCACCAAGGCGCTGTAAGTGGTACAAAGATTAACAAAGTGATTTGTTTCACAGCCTGAACATCAAGAGGATATAGCTGCCTTAGCTGCGTGGGTGACTCGAGCGATGCGCCGCGCGGCTTCGGAGAAAGCAGACGCCCGCGAACACAACCGCCCCCCACCACCTGTGCCTTGTCTCTACACCACTCCACAGCGCACACAGGTAGTGGATTAGTTTGTCAATAAAATGTATGAGATGGTTGCTTCCAAAAGTCTCCAGTCATTTATTTGTACACAAAATCATTTTCTTGTGTTAAGACTTGTCTCCAGGAATTTTGTGTAATATATATAAAACACTTATTGTTATATTATCGTCTTCTTGTATAAAAATAAAGAATTAATTACGATACAAAAAATCTTGAACCAGCCTCTTAAAACCGTTTATTGTTTGCGCTCGCCTTATGCTTATCGGCAATGCATTCCACAAGTGTACAGCTTCAACAGTAAAAGACTGGTCATAAAATTTTGTAGAATGCAGAGGCATCTCAAGTCTTAAATCTTCTCCATTGATCAACTTTAGGAAATAAAGACACTGAACATACAGAGTTTAGTCGTGAATCGGTATTTATCTCGCGATCGCCTTGATTCACATCACATCACATCACACATCAACAGCCTTTAATAGTCCACTGCTGGACATAGGCCTCTCCTTATAAAGGAGGTTTAACTAATATATAACTAATAGTTCCCCGCAGTTTCTCTTGTTTTGCCACTGCTCTTCATCAGTTATAAGTTACATACATTAATTTTCAACGTATATTTTTTGTGTACTTTTTAAATATTTTTATAGATATTCTGCTATAAAAATATTTGAAAAGTACTTTGTTGAACTATGGTAACCTAATTCACTTACAAATCAACGAAAATATTGCCTAATAGTGGTTTTGTGTGAAGCACCATTTGTGCCTATGCCGAAGCATGATTCTCCCACGGAAGAGTAGTGTTACGTCATCAATTTAAACACAATCCATCTTCTTGAGTTATAAATGGTGTTACTAACCCGTCTTAAAATATTTGATTGCTGGTTAATTCCAGGTGGATCTACGTCTTTATCGGCGGGAAGTTTTACGTCGAGCTGCTCCGACTCTTCAAGCTTTATTGGAGCGAGAAGCGCGGGGTTGGTTCCTACACTTCAGAGAGAGACGGGCTGCACACCTAGCTAGTCAGAAGATGCCCATGAAAGATATTGAGGAGGTGATTTGTTAAGAATTCATTTATTCATCTTACTAAAACAAATAATTTATTGATTTGATAGAACAATTATCTCTATTCAAGCAAAGTACGTAACTTTGCTTGAATAGAGATCATTGATTCAAATCCGTGTGGTGACGGATTTTATCGTCATATTAGTGGCAATATCAATAAAGAGTGGTGATGACGATCGGTTAGCGTTGTAGTTTGTGCAACGGACTGCTATTCCAAAGGTCGTGGGTTCGATTCCTTTTCAATTCAAATATTTGTGTGCATGAACATTTAATGTTTGGTTTGGTCTGGATGTTACAATGTATAATATGAATGTCTTTACATAAAAAAAGTAAGTATGTATTTATATCAGTCGTTTAGTACCCATAGTACAAGCTCTGCTTAGTTTGGGACTAGCTGGCGATGTGTGAATGTGGTAGAATATCAATATGACGGTGTCGCAGGAGGTGCGCGAGGCCGCGATGCGCGAGTACGTGTCGCGCGTGTGCGGCGCCGTGCTGGGCAGCGAGGCGCTGAGCGCGCTCGGGCCCGACGTGCCCGCGCTCCTCGCCGCGCAGCTGCGCGCCTCCGCCATCGTCGCCAGGTACTCCCCCCCACTGGACTCGTGTTTACGCATACCCTTACACTATAACTTAAAACAACAACTCGAAACCCGCTTCGATTTTTACATGCTTCTTGGCTAGCCTATTGATATAGTGTGACCGTGACTGCTAAGCCGGAGGGCGTGAATTTGATTTCCACCCAGGACAAATGATTGTGATCAGCGAGATCGTTTGATAATTGATATAGAATGATTGTAATAATTGGTATAGCGTAATAGAAAAACTATATCTCCCACACTTAATTGTTCTTTTAAACTTTTACTGATTTGCACTACTACCGCAGCAGCTACCGCAGTTCTCAGTCTAAAACTGGCTGCATCTCTGACTGTCGCCCTTCATAAAGAGGGTTGGCGTCAACCCGGCGACCGCACATAAAAGCTAACAGAGCCACAATCCATTACAATAATCCACACGTGATGTCAAGAACGGTGATGATTTTAATCACCTATAAAAAATATTTATAAAATTAAAATACCTCCTTAACGTGTAAAAACAATCTTCAAGTAATCATGATTTAAATTTTGTAAAAGGAATTTCTTTACTTGCTTTGGTATGTTGGCTCCATGGCAAGTTTATAAACGTAGTGTTTATATTAATGTCTATAAATAACTTGTCAGAGCGGAGGAAGGCGTACGACGTAAGTTAGAAGCCGGTCTAGCGACAGCCGAAGCCCGCATCCGAGCCACCCATCCCATTCTATCCCGGGCAGCGTCGTGGCGTTCGGAGCGGCTGTCGCTGGCGGCCAGGCGCCTCACCGCCGAACTGCGCTGGACGCACATGGAGGACGCCGCTGCAGACATGTTGGCTCACAAACTGCATCAGCATCGGTACTTCTTGTTGAGGGATTTGGCCTTCTTGAGGGACAGAGAACCACTACTTATGAAGGTAAGTTACATTAAACAATTTAATCTATATATATATAAGAGATTTCCACGTATGTAGTCACTCATCACGATATCTCTGGAACCATTAGAGCTAAAGACTTAAAATTTGGTAGGAATATTCTTTTCACCGAGTAGAGGTCAGCTAAGAACGGATTTTAAGAAATTCAAAAAAATAATAATTAAATAATGTAAATAGCAAAACAATGTTTGCAGGGTCAGCTAGTTATTAATATACAAAATACAATTTAGTTAAAAAATGCAAGACACATTTATCTACAATTATCAATAATTCTCTCTGAAAATAGCTTATTGCTTTATTGTATAGTCATAGTCATTTACACAACTAGAGTAAATCTACACACGATCGCAAACCATTTCGTAATAACTAGACTGCCTCGATGCCTCTCTGGAACCTTCTAGAACTTCGTAGGACTTTCTGAATTGTTCCTATTTTTGTGAACCATTAGATTTGTAATACGGACACCGTATCAGTACGTTCCCTTAATAAATAGATTAAAAACGCTTAATTTTTATGTCGTCTGAAGTAGTAATCATGTACTAGGGTAGTAACACTACTAATAATACTAATCCTGCATTTATAAGTTCTGGTTAACATATACAACTTCCCAACATCAATCATTAGGCCGCGGCCCGCCAGGCATGTTCACCTCGCCTGGGCGGAGGAGCCTCCCTTGTGGTGGAGGACATAACGCTCTTTCCTCCACAAATTTTATAAAAATTACAATTTTTTTAAAGTTTGTTTGCATCTAGAAATGATGGCCAATATGGTATACTCCCCAGGAGCTACGCCTCGCGGTATCTCCGACCCGCACGTTCACGTGGGCCACCCGCATCTGGCGCGCGTCCAACTGGGTCGTGGTGCGCCACTTCAGGGGCCGGCGCGAGCGCGTGCCCACCGTGCTGTCCACCAGGGCCACGTCCATCGTCACGCCCCGCTCCGACCCCTCGCAGCCCGTGTTCCTGGTACATCGAGACACTTCCAGAACTACCACTACGAGGTGGTGCTCGTGGCGACTGCTTAATCTAGCACACAGGTTGGAATTTATTTGGCATACACATACTTCAAAATTAGGACCACCGCCTTAACGCTTTAACTTATCTTTTACTGTCAGAACATGGTGTTGGAGCTGGAACATAATGTTCGTGCTGGGCATCCTAGTCCCGTGGTGCTCGCCGATCTCGCTCCGCACGCTCCTCTGCATCAAACCTTTCGTACCAGACTTAGAACTGTCGCAGGTTTGACTACTCAACAATTTATTTTCTTACGAACTATTCACAAATATTACTATAAATACGAAAGTGATTTTGTAATTACTGGTTTAGTGACTTTTACACAAAAACAACTTAAGTGTCATGTAACGTAGACAACAAACTACGGAATAACCGTTGATCCTGTATCGCGATATGAATAGTTCTCACGTCGATTAGCATATATCCAACTTCCTTACATCGTCTGTTGAGCCGCGGCTGATCGAAGGATCCTTTGTGTTGGAGGGACATAGGACTGTAGACCGTTCGTTCCGTACTCTTTAACTAAATAATCAGAACAAAACAGTATAACGAACTTGATAGATACTCATTATTTAACAACATATATGCAAAATTTGGTGGTCATTGGTTGAAAGGTAAAAAACAAACAAATCGTTTTTAATAATATGAGGTAGTATTACATTTATTATTAATAAATTATGTATAGGCTATCAGAAATGAAATAAATTCTTCTGAAATAATTGTGTTCTCAGGTAAACGGTACACTGTTCCCCAAACGCAGTAGTGAAACACAGACTATGTGGTCACGGTTGCTGACTCTCTGGCGACACGTGTCTAAGGAGAGGACTCGGTTCGAGACTGAACCGGACACAGGTAACTTTGTTAGTTAAATGTGGCCCGTTGAACGATTTTATGCATTCAAAATAAATGTTTTATCATTCTTCATTCTTTCTGTATTTGTTATTTTTTTCTATCCTATCTTCTATTTTTTTTTATATTATAAATAAAAGTTGTCGGTTATTTACCTTTATTGCGCTGCATTTACAAACACTCACTATAACAAACAAGAATTTGACGTACGGCCAACACGCTCCGCTTGTATAGTGCTATCGAATTTACTAGAATGATCCCTATTCGATAGTCCGTTCCAGACAAATAAGAATATTCCATCAGTTATGCGTTACTTGCAGAGCTGTAAGTATTAGAATTATTAATTACAATCTCAATAGTTTACTTTACGTGATACTAGACGGCGCTTCCATACAATTCTGGAACAAGCGAACTACTTAATATTGTGGCGCAAAAATATAAACGATTTTGAAAATTAACTGTATGGATCATTTTCATGTTCGTATGAAAAGTAGTATGTAGTTAAATATACCGCGCATTCGAAGATCACAGTATTCACGTATGGTTCAGGTTTGCTGGGCAAAGGGCTGAGTCGCGGCGCCAACCGCGCGTGGAACTACGGCGTGGTGGGCGGCGTGGGGTCGGCGCTGCTGCTGCTGCTGTTCCCGCTCGTGAGCCTCGTGAGCTGTGCTCTGTGCGCGGCGCTGGCGCTGGCCGCCCCGCTCTGGGTGCCGCCGCTGGCGCTGCTGCTGCACGTGGGCGGCGTGCTCATCTACGACATCGACTGTCCGAATCCCGATAAGATTAACAGGTGCCCTTTGATTACTTACCTCCAATGGAGTACTTCTAAATCATAATGAATAAACTATGATCAAGTAGACAAAAGACCTTTGACCAAAACAGATTGTTGCTGTTGTGTGTTGATCTATTGCTTTAGAAGTTTAGAGGCTAAGACGATTCCAAACATTTCTTTTTTTAATTTATGAAATAAAGATGTTTTGAGTTTGAGCTTGTTCCTGACAAGCTCTTAAAAAAACTATGGCGGTTCTATATTTTACAGATACAGGCCTTGGATCGTATTGTTAAAAAACGAATTATTTATATTTCAGTAGACTTATGTTTAAATAATGTATCATAATTCCCTTAAATATTATTAAGGACTCATGTACACCCGCCGACACCGCTTCGTGCAACCGTATAGACTGCACTATCAAATTTTAGTGTGAAAGTACTAGTAAAAAACAATAAACAGCTAATATCTTAATGACAACTCGCTGACATCCTTCAGAAAAAATCAAACTTGTAACTTTATTTAGGTAAAAGATGAACGATACATGTACTCGTATACGTTAAAGGTGCAGCATAATCAGGTTACTGTAACAAAATCAAATTATCAGTCAAAGCCTAATCAAATTGTGTCTAGTCATTCTGGTCAATTCAAGAGAAACCCTGTCAATAAATATGATTTGAATAATCCATAATCATAGAGGCCCGAATTATACTCCTATTGTATATTATCTTAATGTTTATTGTTTGTGGGCAGATGGTTCGTGTTATTAGAAGTGTTAATATGGCGCATTGGAGTCCTAGGTCTGCTACAGCCGATTGCGGCGCTGATATTGGCCCTAGTACTCTGTCCACTTGCTGCTCTCCTCTTACTCGTTGGTAAGTGACACACAAACAACACTGGTACACAGGCATATTATGTTGAAACATCGTGTAGACATATTTTTAAATAATACTCGGTCTAAGTCAAATTTGGATTACTGAATATTGTGTAGTTTTCAATTAAATATCTATATTTAATTTATTCGTTTGATGTTTTCGATACAAAAATAGATAACAGTAGCTGTTATTGTAAACGCTGCATTTTAAGCCTTTAAGAAAATACGAGTGTATGAGGTCACATTTTTTGTGCCAGACATCATTATATTATTGCTATCATAATTTACATTAAATTTACAATTCAACCACCTAATTAATATTGTTGAGTTTTAAATAAAGAGTATTATAAGTTAAGGGTTTTACACGAAGGAAAAAGAGATATTCTTCGCACATTACCCGTGACTAAGCCATGTTATTGCACAAATAGGCCAGTTTGTCAAGATAATACGGAATCATAGAAAACCGATGTTAAGTAATTTTTTCTTTGCATTTGACGGATCGAGTGAGGTTTCACAGGGCTAAACCTCCAGCCTTTTCTCTAAGTCTGGTCGGGGCACTCGAAAGACAGTAAAAAGACTTTGATTTCTGCAGTTGCAGGGGTACATGGGGTAGTCACTTACTATCAGGTTTTTCGTCTACTAGTTGGTCTCCCTATTTCTTGAAAAACGAGAAATATTGTCCAAATATTTGTTGAGGTAGTTGAAGATCAAAATAGAGAAGATGTATAAATGTGTCGGTCAGGTGGCGTGGCGTGGTGGGGCGCGCGCGGGCTGTGGGAGCAGGCGGCGTGGCGCGGCGTGCTGGCGCGGGGCGCGCGCGTGCCCGCGCACGACTCCGCCTTCTGCCGCCGCGTGCGCGGGCCCGGCCTGCACACGCGCACCTACTACCAGATCACGTACGCGCACGTAACTTAACATGTCACGTACTACTAATTTCTCTGCTTTCCTCACGACACTATCAGACAAATAATTTATCGTATTTTTCATACTTAAGCAAAAAATGGATCTGTATTGTTTCCTCTTATCGCTTTAAAACTATCGTGACACTTAGTGGTCATGCTAAAATATCTTGAATATGTAACCGACGATTCCGTGTGTTGACTGATGCTTAGTAAATAACTCTATTTATAATATGTATGTATTTACAACAAAAATAAAAGTATATAAATATTCTATCAGTTAATCTAGCTTTCATGGTACAAGCTTTGCTTAATTTGAAACTATCTGACGGTGTCAGATGTCCGAAAATATTATATTCAAGGTTACTGGTTGAATCGACCTAGATACTTTAGGGAGTTGTATTGACATAATTTCTGATCGATTTCACTATGTAATACAATATCCTATACTATATCGCCTTGAATCTTTATAAAAATTGACGAAATTTTGCCTAATACAATTTAGTTATAATTATCCTTTTTTTTTTTATGTTTTGTGTAGTTGATACATTGTTTTTTAATTTACATTACCAAAATTGTAATTAAAAGATTATTAAGATGAAGAGCTATCTAATAAGGTATAATAGTCTAGGGTATTATCAGAATTCATAAGAAAATCTTAGCCGAGAGTTTTAGGAATTAGCGTACAACCCGGTAGTACCTAGTTGAAAAATTTCCTTGTATTTTTGGACTCTTTCGTTTTCTATTCATGACTAACTATTGCTAACTGTACTTTGATTTAATATCTTTTGAATGAATTCTGTAATTCCTTATGATTGAATAAATCTAACTATTATATAAACATATTGCAGGTGCGGGCAAGCTTTAGCCGCGGTGTGCGCAAGAGCAGAGCTGGAAGCGTTGTCCCTGTGGGTAACTGAGTTGGAGCACGCTATCGAACGACCTCTTAGAGACTACGAGCATTTCGTGGACGCCTGCTTTGGGCCGTTCTCTGTACAAATAGCTAAGGTAACGTATTATTAAGACTATCCGTGTGGTGACGGATTAAGAATACGGAGTGTCACCACCCCTATTTATATCGTGGGTGTCGTAAGAGCCCACTAAGGGAGCAAACTACGCTGGAAAAAGTCACTGCAAGAAAAAGAAAACTTTACAAAAACCCTAAACCAATCCGTCTGGTCAGCGTCGTATAGTAGGCCAAAACCTCCTTTCTAAGAAGAGGCCTATGTCCAACAGTGAACTATTAAAGACTGTTGATGATTGATTTTTATTTGTAGTGTAGTGTATTTGGTTTAGCGCTCAAACTAGAATAAAATAAATACTGAAGGCAACAAATTACATACGAGAGATCGCCTGATAGGTCGAATTTAGACTATTTTTAGTTTTTTTCGTCGGCCAGTAAAACTCATATTGAAATTGTACAGTTTTTTTTTAAATATTAGTCGTTTTACATAATTTTTAATTGTATAGCCCATTGAAAATGTTTTAGTGTTTATATTACCTTTTATAGACTGGAGCTTATAAGCAGCTAGAAAAGGAATGTCACGACTTAACAGCATCGCTAAGGGAAAAGGCGGCTGCGAGAAGACGAGACCTAGCTCTCGCTCTCAGCGATGCAGCGAGGGCGAGAGTGCGGATGACGTCACATGATCTCACGGTGAGTAACCGACAACCAACAAGGGATGTGTAGGGCATTACTGTTTTAAGATAATAAAAAAAACAGTTACACTCCGGGAGCGCCGACAGAAGTGAAAACTTATATACATAGGTGTCGGTAACGGTAACAGTGTCGCGAGTTCAATTGTTTTTCCCATCTCAAAAAATGTTCAATACAATACAGAATAGTATAGAATTTACAGGGGGGTAAATTAGCACATGGGTTATCTGATGATAAGTGACCACCGTCGCCCATGGAAATCTGCAACTCAAGAATCATAAGTGTGTTGCGCCCTTTGAGCCTTTCAGGTTGTTCTAGGAAGAAGGATGGGTCCGGATCTTTTAATAACAACAGTTCCTGGATCCTTCCTATTACAGGCGCAGAAAGGCACACCGTGTAGTTTTAGTCGGTCCGATTTGACACACCACCTTGCCGCAAACCCCTGTAGGGTAACGGCCCAAGGGGGTTTGCACTCGTAAAAAAAGATGTTAATTGTAAAGTGAACACGCTATATATATGGGTCGTGTCCGTAGCGCTGTGTGCACGCGTGCGCGACGGAGCTGGCGCGCGCGAGCGGTGCGGCGGCGCGCGCTGACGACTGGTGGGCGGCGCGCGGCCTCGACCTCAACGACTGGCACGCGCTCGCAGCCAACACGCTCGTCGAGGTACCACAGCTTAGTTTATACATTTGTTTGTGCATTGTATATTATAGGAGCCTTCCGACCGCATCAACAAGAAGAAAAATACCCAAAATATAAACGGTCTTACAATGTTTACCGGCTGCAATATTTAAATGGCTCTCGCGACCTAATATTCAACATCTCACGTTCTATCTGACAGTTAATTCTAGCACCACTGTACGTTTCCATGCCTCGCTACGACACACTTTCATCCCTATTCAGAATATTACTTTCACAGATGGCACGAAAGCGGAAGAGAAAATGTTATTACACACTTTTTAATTTGGTCGCCCCAGGTGTTCGACGCGGAGGTGCTGGTGGCGCTGGAGGCGGGCGAGGCGCGGCTGGCGCTGGAGCGCGGCGAGGCGGAGCGCGCGTGGGCGGCGCGCTGCGGCCGCGACACGGCGCCGCCCGACGTGCTCGCCGAGCGCGACGACTGGGCCGCTCGTACGTACTTACCTTCACTTCTGCTCGAAACCAACGACCACGGGCTCAACTCTACTATTTCATGTTAACGCCAAGCCACTCATTCCATTGACACGACGCTGACATCGGTTAAAATATCGGTATTCTACTATATAGTAGAATAAGAAAAGTGCAAAACTATTCCGACGACATTCCGTCGACAGTTTATTGATACAATGTTAAAATAACAGAATTGAGGCCCAGGTGAATAAACAATATTACATATTTATTTATTTATAATTAGAAACTTAACAGCTCGTTTTCCATACACTTACAAAACAGCGTAGGTACTACCAGCAGTATTGGCCAATCCTTCCTTAAATACTAGTATAAACGTGTCTTTGCTGATACAACCTATTACCACAAGGTCTTAAGCCAAAGAGTCTGACATCTTGTAACGGCAGAAGTGTAACTCCTCCTTGCTGTCCTATCCCATTTCTCGGTCTCTCAAGAAGCACTGGACTGGTTCTCCTCTTACCTTCAGGATCGTCAGCAGTCAGTCAGGACGGAAGATTCTTCCTCTGGCTGGCGCGGTCTTTCTGCTGGCGTCCCACAAGGCGGTATTCTTTCACCTCTTCTATTTTCTATCTTCATTAACCTCATCACCTCAAGACTTCAGTGTTTCTATCATCTCTATGCTGATGACTTGCAGTTATACTATCAAACTGAGTTGTGCGATGTATTGTCCGCGGTCTCGATCCTAAATAGTGACCTGGCGGCCATTAAACACTGGTCAGATATGTTTGGCGTATCGGTGAACCCGAATAAATGCCAAGGTATTATCATCGGAAGTAACCGTCGTATGAGTCAGCTCGACCTTGCTTCACTACCGCCACTTATCTACGATGGCATGGTTATTCCATTCTGTGAAAGTGTGAAGGACCTCGGATTGTATATTGACACGACTCTTAGCTGGCGAAAACAAGTTGCATCTGTGTGCCAGAAAGTCACAGGCTCGTTGCGGGCCCTCTATAGGCTTAAGAACTTTCTGGCAATAAAAACTAAAGTAATGCTTGCCCAGACCCTTATAATCCCTATAATCGACTATGGTGATGTGTGCTACTTTGACCTGAATGCAGATCTGCTCAATAAGCTTGACCGTCTTCTCAACAATTGCATTCGATTCGTTTTCAATTTACGCAAATATGATGCGTTGCGGAAACATCTCTTAAACTCCTTATCAGATCTACCTTGATACCTCTCTCTTCTAAAATTTATTGTGTGTATGTATGTATATGTATATATATATATATATATATATAATATGTATAGTTATATGTATGTATAAATGTATATTATTATGTAAACATAAATACTTATGTATTATTTACCTATTATATTACCTATTATATATGTATGTATCTCTTTTATTAAAATATATTCTAATGCAATTTATTTAAGTACACTGTGCATATGATATTCTATTTATACTATTTTTTTTTTTCTTTTAAATCACATTTCTAATTTCTGTGCATCTACCATTTTTTTAACTCTGCATCGCCCTAAGGTCGACTGGTAGAAAATGCCTACGGCATTAAGTCCGCCTGTGTCACATTTGTGCATAAAGTATAAAATAAAATAAATGTAAATACAGTTGGTAGATGACAACGAACATTGGGGTAACTACAGTGCAAAGTACATAACATATGTGTTACAGCGTCTGGTGTGTGGTGCGAGTGGGGCGGTACCGCGCTGCCCCGCGTGTCCGCGCCGACGCTGGAGGCGAGCGCGTTCAGCCCGCGCGCCCCCCTCCACCCGCCCGTGCCTCACCCCGCCGCCGTGGCCATCGTGCTGCATAACCGGTACGTACTCGTGCCACTGGGGCGGAGAATATCCCTCTCTTTCTTCCTTTTGTTAATTCCATATCCATTCTCCAGGGAATCAGATAACCCGGTGCCTCTGGACTCAGAGCTATGCGCTGAGATACTTAGGAGTTTAGAAGATGCGCCCGACTGTGATGAGAAGAGAGGTAATTCGATTGTTGTTGTTATTTTCTCTTTTATTTAAAAATAAATACTATTAAAACTGTTTTTTTGTCAATTTTTTTAGTTACTTTTTAGTATTACAAAAAATCCCTAATTTCTTTTTGTCCATAAAGAAGAGGGAGATGTGGAACGTTACCGCGGTGGCGGCAGTTCGGCTGATTCCAGTAGCGCTCCAAGCGAAGGTTCTCCGGATGATGAGGAAACCGCTGCAGACCTGACCACACCACATCAACCCACTCTCCATAACGAAGATGGGTTATGCAGGTATATACTTATACATATGTATACAAACATTTAATATAAGTGTTTAGGTGAAAACTTTCATCTAAATTGGTTCATCGTTTTAAGCCTGAAGAGGTAACAGACAGACACACTTTCGCATTTATAATATTAGTATGGATTGCATAAAGTTTTAATAACTAATAGATTAATATAGAAGAAAAGCGTTTTAAATATCAAAAATGTCGAGATTTATTTTGATTTTAGTGTTATTTTTGGGCAAAATACAAATAAAACTGGCTGTCATGCCTAAAAAAAATATTTTTTCTTAAGAATCGATTTTCACATAAGGTGCCGAAAAAAAATTGCAGAGTAAAATTTACTGATCGAATGACCTCGTTACCTTTTTTGTGCGCACCTTTTATACGTGTGTATAAGTTGTATACTTGTGTGCAGTGGAATCGTTCTTATCTAGTAAACTCCAGTCCATGCGTCGGAGCTGAAACACATACTTATTTTACTAATAGTGTAACGTAGGTATAAAACATAAGTGCACGGTACAGGGTGTCAGGCGTGGGACGTGGCAGTCGCGCGGCGTGCCGCTGGACGCTGACGGGGCGCGGCGTGCGCCTGCGCGCGGACCTGGCCAGCCCCGAGGACGTCACGCTCGACCACGAGCGCGCCGCTGGCACCTCCGTCTGACAACTCACACACTATACTGGCTCCCTTAGACATCCGTCGCATTATCGCACAATCATTTGATTTTTTTTTTTAAGTGTGTGTTTTTTATAAAACCACGATCCGAGTGAAACTTTTTTCATATCGGTCAGCTGATATGAGCGCCGACATATTGGCCTCGGCTGGTCTGCCGAGCGCATTTCACTATACCCCTACTCCGCGGCCGACTTTAATGCGACATGCGATAGACGGACGAAAAGATTTGAGGCGATGTAAAAAAGTTTCACTTTAATATTTATATTATTGACATATAATATTTTTATAACAACCAAAACCCACATAAGACTAATTATAAATTCATCTATTTGAATGTGCGATATTGCGACTATAACACAAATGTATTTTGAACTGCATTTTGAATGCAAAAGATTGAAATTTGAATGAAATATTGTTTTTATTTTATTTTAAAGATGTACATTTGTCTTTAAGTAGGTATTCATTACTTTAAAATAAGACTTGACAAGTATCTGTAATTTAATTGATTAAGCAAAACTATTCAATTTTACAAGAAATCTTTATTTATAATTTATTTATTCTTGACTGATATTTTAACATTTTTTTAACGTTTCAAGCTATACGCAACGATTCTAAGTAACTTTATCTTAAAGCCATTTCAATCATCATAAAATGAAGTAAAGTTGAAATGTCAAGAAATATTTTTAAACTAATAGGACTTTCATAGCCACCGATGAGAACACGATAAAATATATGAGGGTTCGTCTCTTTTAAGAAGGATTTCAAAAATGTTATATATTCTTATAAACTCATGTTATATATAACTCAAGAAAAGGATAGGGTAGATTCCGATAATCCATTCGTATTAAGAAAATAGAAACGCATCGATCAGCCTCGCACTCTGACCAGTCAGGCTTCAAGCTTTCGTACGAAACGATGTTGGGTTGATACGTCACTATTTTCTTAACGCGAATGGACTTTAGGCTTAAAATAAACTATTTCACGTGAATCTTTAAATATAAGATCTTAAAGTACAGCCTGAATTGTCCTCCATTGTCAATTCAACAAAAAATATAAACACGTCATACCATTTAGGGTATCGTTTTGACGTTTAATAAAAAGATACTGATTTGACTTGAGAGCCACCCACCCTAACTTGTTTTTTTTTTGTACTATGAATAACTTGTGAGTCAAAAACTTAACGAGAAAGTTACTGAAACTAAAAAAAAACTTTTGTTCGAACTCAGTTTTTTCAAACTATAATTCTTTTTAAAAGCATCTAATATTTCATAAACTTTGTTTTGTTTTTTTTTCAATGCTAATCTCTATTGCCTATAAAATGTAATTGAGTGTCCATGAGTTTAGGGACTCGCATTAAGTATTTTAGTCTTATTTAAGGCTGCGAGATTACTAGCTTGTATTTTAGGGATATGTTCCTCAAAAGGAAAAAATAACTTTTAAAAGGTTATTTGACTGTCCGGCTTTCTGTAGACTCTTTTTAGAAGAAGGATGCATGGAGGTATCCAGTTGAAATTAAATCAAACTTTTAAGTCAATCCAATCAAAATATAGAGCATTGTTATTTAAGGCAAATACTTTCTACCTTCCAAGGTTCTAGCTACCATTGGCCTAGAATCATGAAAAGCGAGAACGAATTGATGGTTTTTGTCATTTACGTTTGATTGTTACGTCTACTAAAGCGGTGTCCGATTTTTTAAATGTTTTATGCAGTTTTTTTGATGTGAATTAGAATATAAAAATGGAGGTATCAAATTAAATCAAACTTTTAAGTCAATCCAATCAAAATATAGAGCCATTGCCATTTAAGGCAAATACTTTCTAACTTCCAAGGTTCTAGCTACCATTGGCCTAGAATCATGAAAAGCGAGAACGAATTGATGGTTTTTGTCATTTACGTTTGATTGTTACGTCTACTAAAGCGGTGTCCGATTTTTTAAATGTTTTATGCAGTTTTTTTGATGTGAATTAGAATATAAAAATTACATTTAGCTTCCTGAAACAACGACTTTTATAGTTAAAGAGCGCGCGCGTATGTGTGTGACAATGCGTGTGTGTGAGTGTATGTGTGTTTGTTACTGCGTGTGTGTGTGTGTTGAACATTGACACAAATGTCACATTTGGAAGGTAATAATATAGGAGAAAATTTAACTCCTGAATATATCCGACCACTAACCGCAATATTAATGTGATTAACAACTCCCCGTTGTAAATTATTAATAACTATGAGATATTATTTAGAGGTATTAATGAAATAACACATAAAACTGTTGCAGTTTATTTTTTATTTTAAAAGATCATGATTTAATTTTCAACAATCTGATACCTGTTTAATTATTTAACCAATTTCGATCGGATAACTTCAAAAGCATAACTTATTAACGTTGTATATGCATGTGAAACTAGCCACTCCCATCCACCGATCGATACAGCGAAGAGTCTTAATTTTTAGTTGAATATTGCCGGCCTCTAATAATCTTTAGTAACTATAAAAAAATTACTTTATCACGGGGTAACAGGGATTACCTTTCTAGGGTATTGCTGGTACCCGAGACGGCGTTTGGTTTCGGTCGGTTCGAGTCCGACATGACCCCCCACCGGTGGGTGGTGTCCGAGGCGATTTCCACACAGAAAAAAAGGGGGACTTTATTAAGAATATGTATATAATAAAGTTATAAATCATGGAACGAAAGCAAAAGTTTAGAAAGTATTATTGGGTAAATATTTTTTTGTCTCGTCTGCGATGCTACTGCGTACGCAGCTATGTCGCAATACTCGTAATAAGTTCTATAGAAATTCATAGAAATCCGAAGTGTTACTGTAGTTAGCGGTTTGCGGTCCGTCTTAGACTTGTACCTAAATAAGCCCGATTAAAATGTGCCTTTTAAAGGAAATTCAGCCTAATTATTATTTTTCCTTAGGTCCTTATTAGCTGTGTAATTAGGTGACGGATAAGATCACACGCTAGTTGAATAGATTAGTCAGAAATTTAAGATACAATTAACAAAAAAACTATAAAAGGTTTCACTACTTGATATACCGCGTACGGATTAATTATTTTTCTTTTTGATTAATTATTTGAGAGGAAACTCTTTCGATTTACTTATCTATCCGACATGTTCACTTTAAATGGCACGTGGAGTAGTTTCTTAGCCGTTTATTCTTCTAATACTTGTAATAGTTTACCCGGCACTGCCCACAGCCCACTAATAGTTATTACTGGGCGTTCTCTTGGTGAAACTGTTTCGTTACCTACAAAAGTGAGATTAAAGAAATCAAAATATGCGTGTAGGTAATGTAGGTGACATATGAATCGTTTTACACCGAAAACTCAAGGTAAAAATATAATACAGAACCGCCAATTTCATGCAATCACTGAACTGTGTACCTTTTTGTGTAATACATAAGTTCTATTTTATATTGCTATCTTAACAATACAGACTGCATGTTATATCCGGAGCCTCTTTGAACACTGTCGGGTTCAAAAATATACTAACATTTGTGAAAATATTCTAAACTAAAAATTACGGTATGACATATAGAATAATCTTGGATGAATTGAAGTCCTTTTCTCGGCCAATTAGCAATGTTAGCTGTTAATATATAACGCTTTAATGTAAGGACTATTCGTATGTCGAAATGTTGCAATGTCAAAAAATTATGGATACAATGACGTATGTCATATGGGGAGAAAAAAAAATTGTATTAAGGACCTCACGTATTATGTAAAGGTTTCACTCATAAGATAAAGAACGTTCTAATAATGTACTGTAATATTATGAGGGTTCCTCAAATCCAAAGTACTAATCATTAAGACAAAAACCATATTTATTTGGTATTTGTTTGTTTACCGTGATTACACAAAGTTGCATAGTGTGTGAGGGTCCTTATTTAATTTTACAATACGCTAGACAATCAAACGCACATTACGTGAAAGGTGAAAATTAAAGTCAATATAAATATGCTCGATCATGTGTGCGTATTATGTGCTTGTGTGTGCGCTTATGTAGCGACAACAGCATTTTTATATGCCAGCGTTTAAACGTTTTTACGTTTAAAATGCTACATTGCATTGTGCTCTTAATTAAAGTAGATATAGTCTGTTCAAAAAGGTTTAAATAGGACAGTAAGGAATTTAAAAGAGAGGTTTTTATCTTTAAGTACTATAAGATGATTGGTAAACAATTACATTATTAATTTACAATGATATCTGTGCTGTGCTCGATATCAGATGTTACACATCATAGACAACGGCTGTAAGGTTCGCTCATTTTTTGTTATCTATAGTTAAATGAATTACTTTCTTTTTGATAAACAACCTGTCAAATTGTCTATTTGACATTTAAAAAATGCGCGTTTAACAGTGGTTATCCTGTAAAAAGTTAATTTCGTGGGCAATATATATAGTCTGCCGTTGTAAATAATATTATATAAAAAATCGGTGAAGTGTGTACGTTTGCGCTTGGCCTAACTTTAATGCAGTTTACAGCCTCAAATAAATAGATATTGCTGTATTCAAAGCATTTGTATAATATGACTTATAGTGCCTAGACTAGGAATTGTAGCGTGAAATTTAGAACCTCACATTATTTATTGTAAATATACATACAAACTATACAAAGGAAACATTATAAATAAACATATACATACAATGAATTAAAATTTAGTACTGCTGCCTACCGATAGAGGCGCCACTAGTATTTTGTTTGATAGTCATATAAAATAAATGGAGAGCTACTAGAGCGTTCGTTATCACGTGGCGACTGAAATTTAATCTTTTCCTATCACAGCTACCACTATGATTAAGTCTTTCTCTCGCTATCTTTCAAATTCTTTCAATATATCAACGCCATAGAACAACACGGCACAAACTTTTAGTTTATTCCTTTCGAATGTCATTTGTTCTCACTTTGATTTAGGCTGTGTTGTTCGATAAACGAGGATATATAAATAATAAGATTATATTTAAATTTATTAATGTATTACCCGAAC